AACTCAAGCAAAAGAAAAAACAAGGTATGTCCACCATTTCTGTGTGCCGCGCCCTGTTGGTTATGGTTGTCTGCACCCTGGTGTGCCTTCAGCTGCCCGCCGCGCGGCAGCACCCAGTTCAGCAAGGCGTGGGAAAGACACCAGTCCCGAAAGCAGCAGCATTCCCAGGTTTACCAACGGTCCCGGGAGTGCCAACATTCCCAGAAGAGCCAACGCTACCGGGAGTGCCAACGGTACCAGGGGTCCCAACGGCCACTGGAAAACCAGGACTCCCGGACGCTGTATTTGCTATTGCGTTTCCATGGGTGGCGGCCGATGTCCTTTGTCCAGCCGTTGAATTTGGTTATGCAGTTGCTCTACTTCTCCAGGGCACGTTGCTGGACGAGATCGCCGCGGCGAACTTCACTATAGCCATCTCTTGGAATTGCAAACATAACATTTCATGTGATTGCATTTGTCCCTTGTGTTCTTCGTGCGTCTTTTTTAACGTCAGGCTACTGTTTGCAACCATGATATCGTTGCTACTCTTGATCTGTTTTTAGGGACATATATTGAAGGTCTGCAACTTTATTTCTCTTCCCGGGATGGGGTGGTGCTTGTTCTGGTGGATTTTACGGTCCTTTGGCATTTATCGGATGAACCCGCGATGAAGACAGCAGCGGTTGAAGCCGGCATTTCAATCTCGTCACAATCCCCAGAATCATTGCATTCATTTGTTGTGTATGGATGAAATTTTTTTTTCGTTCACTGCATCTATTTGTTGGTCTGATGGAGGCTTCCGTGTCCGGATGTAAATGGCTGAAGTCCGGGGCTTTCTTGCTTTTGAACGAAGGGCCCCTGGCGGTTGGCTGCCCTTTTTTCCTTTCGGCCGGGGGCGAGGAAAGGGAATCGGAGGGAACCGACTGCCCCATGCGGCCAAACCCCCGGGGTGAAATTCGTCGGGCCAACCTTTTCGGGGCGATTTTTTGCCCCACGGGCTCTTCGTTTCGAGCCCCCTCCCGGTGTTCCCGAGTTTCCTTCGAATCCGTTCGTCCTCCTTCCCCTGGGGCGCGGGGGTCCTGCGGCCTCGGGTTTTGGTGGAGGCCCGGTGGGGCTGCCTTTCCGGAAGAGAGGGGCGGCAGCGGGATCCGTCGTTTTCAGGCCAAGATTTTTTTTATTATTGTTGGGGCAATCGGCCTGAACGCGTTCGGGGGTTTCATGGAGGAACCCCTTGAATGTCGAAAGCGTTCCGGTTTTTTTTTTTCCCTTCGACGGCGGGCGGGGACGTCTCGACGTCGGGTTTCGGCAAAGGCATCATTATCCAACCGAGCGGTTTTATGAGGGAGCAATCTTGGTTTTGTATCGTGGCGAAAACTTCGAGGGTGCGATCGGGAGGTGAGGGGCGCATTCTGCCGCCATGGCCGGGGTTTGGAAAGAAGGTTCCCCACGCCGGCAAAACGGCCCCGGAAACCTCGCAGCCACTTCCAACCCCAGAGGCGAAGCGCCCCTTCACATTTCTTTTTGGATTCTAATACCAAAAAGTCTCTGCAAAGTTTTTTTTTTTTTTCGCAGTGGATTTTGGGAAGCGGGCCCTGCGCCATGACGGTGGGGTTCGGGAGGGCCGAAAAACTTTTATTCCCACCAGAATCGAAATCGCCGATGGCCGCGCCGCGGCTTGCAATGCGTTTGTTGCCCCCACTCCAGGGTGGGGCGCCACCTGATTGGCCACAAGAAATTCTTTAGGGAGCGCCACGTCTGACGCCTTATTTCCCCTCCCGGTCGTCGTGATCCTTTTGTGGCCTACCGCGTTTTCAACTTGGAATTATTTCTGACGATTGTTTTTCAAATAACGCTTTCGCCGGAACGGGTCTAGGAAGTTCGCCCGCCGGCCCAGTGGTCTAGTGGCATGATTCTCCCTTAGGGTGGGAGAGGTCCCGGGTTCAATTCCCGGCTGGGCCCATGTTTTCCCCACCCAAATCTTTTACCGCCCCAGAAGAAGAAAAAACGAATCAACCTCCACGGCATCATAACGACCCGAAGGGGTTATTCAAACCAAAAAAGCCGGTTTCCTTTAGAGAATGTGGGGCGCAATACTCATGCAGGAGCGCCGCAGTAGCACATATGGTCAACAAACATGGGTTCAACGGAGCCGATGCGCTCTGGAAGATCAAATTCCCCCATGAGCCACCTCCGCCGGACATCCCGCCAGAACCTCCGCCACCTTCGGCCACAACGTTACCCCGTCCCACTTCGCCTAAAGCAAAACTCCATCCGTTTGCCCGCAGCATGTGTAAACGAACATTTCCGCTTCAAAATGGATTAACGCTTCACCTAAGACACATGCGCAATGCCGCGTGCCCTGTCCCAGAGAGAAAACGTCCGATAACCGACGAACCGATACCAGAGGAATCGGCATTTCCCTGTTACAAATGTGATATGGTAGCGCGCTCTAAAACAGACCTTAAATCCCATATTAGAGCAAAACATCCTGAGAACCCCAAAAAAGACGCACCTCGCACCCAACTCATCCCACAGCCTGCTCCGCTACGATGCGAATTTTGCCGCCGCGACTTCGGCAACACTGGAGCTCTCGCATGCCACAAAAAGTTTAAACATCCACCTGGAACCCCAATTCTGCCAGCAACAATACAGGTAACCTTTCCGCGAAATAAAAAACGCCGGCGGGATTCTTCTCCATCGGAGTGTGAGAAGACAGAAAAAGTTCAATGTGGAGTATTCCAGAAGTTCTACGTCCACTGGAGAAAATTCCATGATGGAAAGGGAAATACAAACAAAAAAACGAATTTCACTACTGCACGATACAAAAAAACAAAAACAAGAACCCCCCAGTATCAGTCTGCCCCTCATGCGGCCGTCGATATATGAGTAAGTCAAGCCTAACTCTACACCGAATGCCACGACACGGGTATCAACCCACTCATGCGCACACCAGCCAACGCGACGAATGCGAAGAAACAGCTCTGCATCTCTTGAGTTGCCCCGCTCTTCATCCACTGCGAGTTCAATTTGCGATAGTTGATGATATACCCCTGAAGAAACTATGTTTTTCTAAGCGGTTAGCACAGTTCCTTATTGCGGTGGAGCGGAACTACGCTATATCCCTCTCTTTTCACCCAAGAAACCCTACACAGCCTACCTCCCCCTGCAAGCCCTCCCCCGCACATTAGAACTGGCAATACCTTCAATTATGGAAGACCTGATGGAATCGTACGAAAAAAATGTCTGTCGCCGGCCGCCCGAGAAGGAACAAAACATATAGGACTTTATTGAGGAGAATTAAATACGCAAAAAGAGAGAGACCTGAGGACGGGCTCTGGGTAGCGAAGGTGTGAGTGGAGTTTTCTCGTAGACTGGTTCTCTTGCGAGGGAACGGTTTTAACACAAATATAGAACAAAATTTTAAACTAAGAAAAACCAAATAACCAAAAACAAAAAATGACAAAAATAACAAAACATATATTATAAAAGCTTGAGGACCCCACAAAAACAATGGGATCTTCTTCTATAACATCACTTGTAAGTCAATAATGAAATTGCCCGAGTTGGTAGGATAACAGTCTTACCATTGGAGTTACAGTCTTAAAGGCGCGAATGGTAATAATAATAATAACAATAAAAAAGCAAATAGGTATTGCAAGAGCATGGTGCCAGAGAAAAAAAAATAGATATTCTTTCAGAATCGCTCTATAGCGAAGGTGGGATTATTCCACAGGGATGGTTGAAGGTCGCTCCGACTGCGCGACACCACCGGAACTCGCACAGAACAAGAACACTACCCCAGGCATCCGAACGGGTCTGGAACTAGGCCTTCGCCCATTGGCGACAACCACAAACAGCCCCTGCAACACAGATTTTCCAAACCCATACCGACAAGTCCCCAACGGGTTTTGGAGGGTTTGCCAGACAAATCGTCGAGAAGAACACCCTAGCCTTACTTCCCCTTTAAGAAAGAAATAAATAACGAAAGAGAAAATACTTATTTTCCGTACCTCTCCTTACATGTTCTATGGCTTTAGTAAATACCTAAACCAAAAACTTTTCCAGATGATGTTTTCTAATACATAACAGAACTAACGAAATTGAAGCGCTGACAAACCCTTTTAACCCGCCTCCCGCTCTCCCCATCGCAAGTTCCACCCCTTCGCTACATCTAATTGTTTGATGTGTTCTCCTCTAGATATTCTGTGTGCTGGATTATGCTCTGAAGATACGTAACTCCAAGTAGCACTTATGCCGTGTGATCGAAGAACTTTTTCTATGGCGCCGACTTCCGCAACTAATACCTCTGAATGTGTGTTCTTTTTTTGCATAATATTCATAACCGTTGTGTTGTCAACGCGTATATCCAAGGGACCTGCCAAATGCATGTTAAACTCTCGTAAAGCCAGATGAACGGCCCGTGCCTCTGCCTGGGAAATCATCTCAGGTGAGCGCCTCCAAGCGCCCCCTGCGGCCAAAACCTCCCCTGAATCCTTAAATAACAACGCCCCCCATCCGTACATAGATGCGTCTGTCACCAGAGTTGCCGTGGAGGGCAAGACGTGTGGTGGATGAACCGGTTAGTTCTTTAACAGTTTTTTAAACCAGTTATCCCCAATGACCTTCGCATTGGATGGTAAATTTGCCTGGTTTTGGGGTTGCAATAAACCTCGATTTAAACTTGATAAGCGTCGACGCACTATCTTTAAGAAGAAGTAATGAGGAAAAGCAGATTCGTTCCTTACGCCCCCTGCATACATCATGCGTGAAACCGTACTCTCCAATTCTTTCACCGTCATCTTTTCCAGCGACGGTGTCCCTCTCAACCTTCTTAATGTCTTTTGGCTTAAAGAAATCGTGTTGTCCTCGTGGTTGAAGTGCACCCCGATGAAATCGTATTCTTTCGTTTGAAACTTCTGCTCTCCTATGGTGGCCCCGCATTTTTTGCATATTATGCAAGACTTGCTCTCCCCAAGCTTTCACCTTACCATATGGACCACTGATTCTGGTGTCATCAATCCAAACTTGTATTTTTAACTTTTTGGGTGCCGCATACTGTGGCATTACCAATTCCGGTTCGCCGGAGAATACTCTTGTAATAGTGTTTAAAATCTCAGGGCTACATTTATAGCCCATGGGAAGGTGAGTGAACTCTACTAGTTCTCCTAATTCCGTGCGGCAACAGAAACTTGCGTGCATGTTAACTGGCAGGGCTACCTAAAAAAAATGATGCCTTTAAATCAAATAATGTTGTAGTTTCGTCGCAAACGACATCCAGGTATCGGGAAATGTGTCCCAGAGGAACATCGGCCTCATAATCATCCTTATCATTCTTTTCTCTTGGCCACGCGATGAATCGCCTTCTGTGTCCGGAAGGTTTTTCCTCCACTACTGTAAAAGGCACTACCCATCCTGTGGTTGGGTGTGATGAAGCTGTACAAATAATACCTGCTTCCTTCATACGCTGTGCATCATAGTTATTAATTCGTAAACTTCATTCATGATCCTTCAACAGTATCATGGGTTTTCCCATAATGCCCCATACTGTATCCCAACGCCTCCTGGCTTTCTCGTTCATTCACTTTCTTATCCATTTAGTGGAAAGTGTTCCTACGTCTATTTGTCGCAACGGTAATCGTTCCTCATCTTCTTGTGTTGCCACTCGAGTTCGATTGGAGCGTTGAAGTATGGTGTGTCATTTAAAAGGGTTGTTAATGCCTTGTTCAGGATGTTGTGGTAATCTCCGGCTGGCTGTTGCCCATTTTTCCAAATTGCTTACATCAGTGATGTCAGGTGTGCTGGCTTGTTTATTGTTGCGGCCCAATGGCCTAGATATCGTACCGTGCTGCGTGAGAGTTCCATGGGGTCGGCATGTTTCCCCAGCTGAGTTAGCAATCGTGGATCGAGATTGTGTTCGACCACTTCTGCCGCGGCGTGGGCCAATGCTCCTCTCTTTATGGAGTGAGCTGTCATTCCGTAGGGGCGAAGAATATTTTCCATCTCTTTTGTGGTTATTGTCATTAAATTTTTCGTCTCCCTCCATCTCTTTCTCGACTGTTTTTACCCGTCGTGCGTCGTCCTCTCCGATGACTGCATACCTCGCTGCCCTGTGGGGGTCGCTCTTGAGGGTTTTTGGTAAAACCCCCAATCCACTATTATGGCATCTGGATCTTGATCGTGCGGTACGAAATTTTGTTTTTGGAGTTGTGTTATTTCTCCCCATCGACTCGCTGTAACTCATGCCAGTCTTAAAGCCACTCTTTTTCTTTCCTTTGTAAGAGCATCGCTTGTCATATCCAATTCCCATCTTCACATTGGACGTGCTTGTTTTAACGGGTCCTGTGCTGCCGTTTTTTGCCAACCCATTAAAAACATTTGAGTGGTCGTTCTCCCTGACGCCATCATGCCGATCAGTGTGCGCGTATATTGAATCGCGCTGGTTTTTACCAATTGCAAACTTACGATAAGTAGCGGAGTATTTTCTTCTGTCGTGTCTAGGTTTTTCTGCACTGTAAACTGTATGAATTTTCGTAGTATGGAACCCCGTTGTTCCCATGTTGTGCGGGTCCACATGCCCTTTTCTATGTGGTTGGCCTCTGATGCCAGCGCCACGATGTACGGATCGTGAGAGCGCGCTGGAATTAACGTAAACTCGTTTTTTGATGTCGTTCCCTGAGGGAGAAGTGACGATTGGAAGATTCCTTGCTGTGGGTGTAGTTGTGTCGCGTGTCCCGGTACATTTCCTGTTATTATGTGTTGCGTTACCGTTTGGACATGTGATCGGAAGAATACCACGGTGTTTTGTGGGCGTGTCCAATCGTGAAAAAGTTCCTTTCGTACATATCCTGCTTGCCCTGGCCTCAGTATTCATTGTTTCCAGGGCCGAATATCGTTTTTTTTTTTTGGCTTAAAAGTTTCTTTTTGTAATTGTACACGGCACGTCGAGCTGTAATGCCCGATGCGACGACATCTGAAACATTTTGTCTTGCTGGGTGGTGGTGCTTAATTTTTCTTCCGCAACTTAAATGCAACTTGTATGAATGGATCACCTTTTCGCAGAGGCTGGGCCATGGTCTCCCTGATGTCGTGTGTCTTCACTCCTGGGAAATCCTTTGCCGTTTATATTGCCTTGAGCTGTGTGTATAACTGTCGTCCCAGGTTGGCCTTCTGTGGGGTCAGTTCTTCGTTGCGCATGTCGTGGGCCCATTGCGCGAAGTTATTCCATGCATCGTTATAAAGCAAACCGGGATTTGATGGAGCAGGAAAAAATTCCCTGTATGCAGTCAAAAATTTGCTGGGTGAAGTCTGCAGCAAATAATTCATTACGCCTGCAAAAGTTCGGATACGCTCTTCAGGTCTTACTTGCTCAATCCAGAATGGTTGGCTTAGTTCCCGTGTTCCCCAGGGAGGCTCCGCGGGGCACTCACCCCCGTATCGGAAACAAACTATTCCGTTCTACATGCCTTATACGTTACATTAGTGTATCGTTTTGGGTGAATCTGAGGTGCGGTACTGTGAATTTCATCAGAACCATTCTGTTGTCCTTGGCGTTGTGATTGTTCGATCGCCACCGCTAGTTGCGACTGTGTTTCCATCATTTGTGTGTCCTTCTGTTGTAATTGCTCCTGCGGTTGGCCAATATGCGCCTGCAATTCCTCTTGATACGCTTTGCCAGCTTCGGCTTCTTGGCACGTCTGTGCCACTTGCTGTTGCATTTGCTGGGGTTGCATGTTTGCGTCCTGTTGGACACGAGAGGTTTGGTCCTGTAACTGGGCACGCATGCCCTCATACTGTTGGTATAATGGTGGCTGTTTCTCCTCCAGCAATGCCCATTCGGCGCTGAAACGTGCTCGTGCTGCTTCAAAAGCCTGCATAAAATCTTGCTTTCCCGGCATGTTAAACCTGAGAATGGAGAGGTGCAAGGTATCCCGGTCCATACAGGTATCCTCTCTCCTTTGAGTACCTTGAATGAATCATGTTCTAAGGTTAACATACCCCTCGACGATATAACTTAAATGGGAGCGTGAGATGGTCGCATTTCAAATGTAAACGCTGTTGGACCGTTGTGGCACACAAACTCTTTCAATACTTGTGTACTTGTCATCCGCTCTCCTGATAAATAAGAGGGAAGAGTCGGCGTCAACATTTTCCTTCCTTGTAAACTTGCTTTTCAGAAACTTACAGTTAGGCAGACTGTAAAGATAAAAGAAGTAGAATTTGGTTTACCAAGACCCCATCCAAAATTGTTGCTCCATATAGTAAGGCTTTGCCATTTTTTTCGCAAGCTTTCAAAAAAGAAAAAAAACAAAGAGAGAAAGATAAAATATTTTTATTAGTTTGCCTCCTCTTTCAATAGAGAACCCCGCTCGGGAGCGGAAAGCGACAGAATAGTTTGCAACACTTTCCCGCCACGCAGAGTGAGAATATCTGTTGTGTTTTGATAATTTTCCCCCTTGAAATTTCCCGTCGCCCCTTGATTTTTCCGGAAGCCCGAGGTGGGAGAGGCAGGGTTTGCCGTGATGAAAGGGCGTTGCCGGGCGTGTCTCTTTTTTTATTGTTGTTTTATTTTATTTTTTTGGCGCGGGGTGGGGTGCAGGGTGCGGGGCTTGGGGCCGGGACGGAAGCCGAATGGTGTTTTGTTATTGGCTTTGCTGGGTTGTCACGGCCGTGTTGCGCCGGCCCAGTGGTCTAGTGGCATGATTCTCCCTTAGGGTGGGAGAGGTCCCGGGTTCAATTCCCGGCTGGGCCCAACTTTTTCTCCAAACCACTTTAACCCTTAGATGCAGTAAATGGGCCAAATTTCTATTGTTTTTTTTTTTATTTCTACCTCTCGTTAGCTTTATTGTTTTCATGTTGTTGTTGTTGTTATTCATATGAATTTCCTTCTTGGAAAAGAAGGAAAGGAACGAGAATCTTTTGTCAACGTGAAATTAAATAAATGAGGGTTATCTTTTTTTTTAAATTTACGCTATTATATTCTTACACCTATAACTCGTTTCTTCTTTGAGGATAACCGAATTGTAAACTACTTTTTTTTTTCCTTTTTCATGCAATACTCCCTAACTATGCTTCATACAGAAGAGGTACAGCTGTGACGGGACCAGAAAAACATAAAATAAAAATAAAAATATACTAAAAAATTAAACGAATAAAATTTTTTTAGTTCTAAGCGAGAAAACACCCTCCGTGGGGCTCGAACCCACGACCACACGGTTAAGAGCCGTGCGCTCTACCGACTGAGCTAGAAGGGCCATAACGTTGATTCCAGCGAACGAAATGAAAATGGAGGTTTGGTAAATTTTTTTTTTTTTTTTTTTTTTTTCTAAAAAAAAGAAACACATTACTTTTATTTTGTGACTTGACCCCTTCTTTTCTTGCGAATCATAAATGGATTTCAATATTTCAATATTTTCCCACAATGGTTATTCCCCCTTATAATTTAACGGAACTGAGGGAATGGAGGTGTGCTGGGAAACCGTTTTAACACTCCTTCCGCTCAGGGCGGAGATGGTTGGGTTTGGTAAGCCTTCAAAAACTTATGTTTGACAGCATTTGAGGGTTAAAAAAAAAAAAAAACATATTCCCGAGACCAAATCCCATATACGGTTCAATTCCTATTAACGCAAGGCTTGGCCATCCTTCGCGCAAGCTTCAAGGAAAAGAGTAACTCATTAGCGTTGTGGATGCTATCCTTTGCTACGAATATTCCCATTTCTTTCCTTCTTTTCCAAGAAGGAAATTCATATGAATAACAACAACAACAACATGAAAACAATAAAGCTAACGAGAGGTAGAAATAAAAAAAAAACAATAGAAATTTGGCCCATTTACTGCATCTAAGGGTTAAAGTGGTTTGGAGAAAAAGTTGGGCCCAGCCGGGAATTGAACCCGGGACCTCTCCCACCCTAAGGGAGAATCATGCCACTAGACCACTGGGCCGGCGCAACACGGCCGTGACAACCCAGCAAAGCCAATAACAAAACACCATTCGGCTTCCGTCCCGGCCCCAAGCCCCGCACCCTGCACCCCACCCCGCGCCAAAAAAATAAAATAAAACAACAATAAAAAAAGAGACACGCCCGGCAACGCCCTTTCATCACGGCAAACCCTGCCTCCCCCACCTCGGGCTTCCGGAAAAATCAAGGGGCGACGGGAAATTTTGAAGCGGGGGCGGCGCGGGGTGGGGCGCGGCTGCTGGCACCCCTTTTTTCCTTTTCTTTTTTGCTTCCCCCTCCCAATGGGGCTCCCGCAGGCGGCGTTGGGCCGGGAAGGCCGCCAACACGTGGGCAGAGCCCTCCACCCCGCCGGTTTTGGAGGAGGCCCTCGTACCTGTTGTGTCTTTTTTTCGGTGCCGGTCCGAGTTGTGGTTTGGGGTGTGGGTCGGGGTCTGTGGTTTCGGGTGGGGTTTCCCTGTCTGCATCACCGGGGTTGCGGCGGCGCGGTTTCCGCGTTCAAGGTTGATGGTTTTTCGTCTGAGTTTGTATGGATGTGTTTTTATTTTCTTTTTTCGAGGTGTTTGCATTTTTTTTTTCTTTGGTTTTTAGCCACTGTTGTACTGATAAGGAATTTTTTCGTTTCTTTTTTTTTAGTTGGGATTGTGTTTGATTTTTTTTCTTTCTCAGCTTGCGAAAAGAATGATCGAGCCTTACGTTTTAGGTAATGCATCTTGTACTGCAGTTTTTTTGACGTTTCAGGGAAAAAATTTATTTCCTTTTATTCCTAAGAGCTAGTTAATTTGTAGGTTTCTGAAAAGTCCACCCTACCCGACCCTCTCCGCCCCGAGCGGGAGACGGACTAAAAAGTGACTTCTCAGCACTTCCATTTCGTAAGTTTTGAATATGTATTAATAGACAACCGTTTTGAATGGAATTTTTTTTTAAATACACGATGGGGTCTACAATTCAGGGTTATAAAACACAGGGTTTTGCTTTTGTTTTCTGTTTTATGGTAGAAGTAAAGCTAAGAACATTCTTTGAGTGTTTAAACTTTTTTTGTTTTTATGTTTTTTTTTTTTTTTTGATTATTGTTTATATTTCAGTTAGGTATTTAGTTAAACCAAGGATAATTCTTTACACAAAATGACGATGAATTTTGGCAACATGACCCTTGGGGGTGCTACGGCAACCTTTGGGGGTCAATCAAATCCCATGTGCAACTATACGAGTCCTCTTGCCAAGAAATTTGTGTACAAAGAGTTGGGTAAGGTTTACTATCCTCTCCGACGTCATGTTTTTCGTCTTAAAGTGAGGACAGCTGCTGAAATTCGTTTTCATGATATTGTTAAGAAGTATATGAAGGATAAAATGAGCTTTAAAAAGGGATGTTATGCTGCCACTATTACAAATACGGTGGAATTGGATCATATGGGAAGTATTATCCCAAAAGATGAATACGAGGTCCGCCGACTTACGAGTTACATGACGAGCAAAAAGATGAGTAATGATTATAAAAAACATATTCAGGAATTATGGACCAGAGTTTTGTTTGTCTGTGAATCCACGAATCTTGTTGGTGTAACCGAAAATGCCATGCATCAGAATTCTCGTCCAGGTACTGATGAAGAGTTTATGGCACTTATTTGGTATTCAACATTTGCTTCCACACTGGGAGCATTTATCATTACTCTTGGTGTCTGGTGGTACAGGTACGGCCAGGCTCCACAATACGCGGAGTTTAAGTAACAAATAGATTATAGGATGTAGTAGCTAGGGTGTAAACGTTTGTAGGGACTTTATCAGTTGGTTTTTTTTTTTTTCTTCGAAGGGGGTTAGTTAGTTAGCAAGATTGAATTCATGGTCTTTCCTTTTTTTTTTTTGACCGTGATATGGATATTTAATCCAATTGTTCGAATATGTCGAATACACTAGAAGGAAAATGTATGATTCTGGTTTTTTCTTTTGCATTGCGTTTATTATTATTATTATTATTGTTATTATTATTATTATTATTATTATTATTTTCTTCTTTTTTTTTCTCTGAAATAGGTATAGAACATTGGAAGTTTTTATGTTTTATTGTCGGCTTGGTATAAACAGCGAATACACCTGTGAATTTCAGTGCTTCTTTTGAAGACACTTGAAATTCATGTGTTCTCCTCTTTGTGGATATTCTAACTTCTGCTCACTGGATGGCCATACGCAGAAATCGGTACCCGTTCTGCCTCTCCACGTAAAGAGTACTTCTCGTGAAGTGTTGCAGACAATTCTCAGGAAAGGGAGGAATGGATAATGACTTAATGTCCTTATTCTTTCTTTATTATCAGGAGAAAAAGAAAAATAATGTGGTAGGAAAATAATTGAAGGATTATCTACACCCCCTCCCCTTCACGATAGTGACACATTATTTTTTCTTTCTTACTTTTTCAGTATGAGTGTTTTTTTTTTTTTTTACTTTTAAAAAGTAAATGGCTCACACAACGAAAATGCCAAGACTATTCTTATGTATCCCAGTTTTTTTTTTTTTTAATATAATGATTTATTGTTATGAGTGAATTGGCCAGTGACGCTCTGTGAGTAAATGCCTGGAAGATCTTTTTCCCCTTCTGTTTTTCTTGCTTCCATATCTAGAGGTTTTTAATATTGCTTCTGGTATTATGATTATGATTATGATTATTATTATTATTATTATTATTATTATTATTATTATTATTTTGTAAGCATAGAATCTCCGCGGGTATCAAAGTTGTATTCTGGTCAAACAAGGATATCTTTTTGTTGGTTGATGGTTCTTTTTGATAATAACGATCGGAACAAATATATATATATATATAGTCTTTCTGAATATGATTTCTCCATTGTTTAATTTGTGTCTGTATTTTTTTCTTTTTACTGAATATGTGGGGATATTTTTTTTTGATGTATTGTTGATCACCTTGTGGGACGCAGAGTTTTTCCTTTTGGTATTTAATGAAATATGATCTCCAAGGAAATGTATATTTCTTTTCAAATAACGGATGAAATGTCATTAGAAGTTAGAAAGTTTAACCGGAATCACTATTATTTATTAAATTTAAATCCGCCATGTTGGCACTTTATGTGTTGCATATGAAATTGCTTTCTTTTTATGAATATTTACTATTCCCTACTCATATATATTGGGTACTTGCCCAAGGTTTCTTTATTTTTTTTTCCGCTTTTGTATTTTTTTTTATTGCAGTAAAGCTAAAAAAAAAAACTGTAGAAATAGTTACTGACAAAATCCCCGAGAAAAAAAACTGTGTAAACATGATGAGATACATATTTATGCTTTACAAAGGTAACGAGGGGAACGGGACGTTCTACAGATATTTTTAAGGTATGCAAATAACGCGTTGATATTATTCTCATTACCATAATCAATAATAATACTAAAAAGAATGGTATCGTTAATGTAAATCATGTATACGTTTACTATTTGAGTATATTGAATGATTGTTCTCGGTGTTTTATTTTTTTTATTGACCTTTTTTCTTTCTTCATCTTTTTCTTCTTGTCTATTTTTTTTTTTTCTGAGATTCTGAGAGGTATACTGCAAACTGAATGGAATTTGGTTGTGCTGTTTTTTGTCTAATAAAGAACTATTTTTTTTTTTTTTTTTTATGGGGGATTTTTTCTTTATTATTCGTATATATTTATGTGTTTTTTTTCCTTTTGCCGGGAAGGGGTGTAAATATAAATTTTGTTGATTATCTATTTTCCAGGCCTTTAAAATGTCAAACTTTTTATTTTTATTTTTACCAAATATATATTTGTGTTATTGGGATCGGTAATGTCAGTTGGATTGGTAGGGGTCTTGTCCACGCCTTTTTTTTTCTTATATTGAACCGAAATCTTTTTTTTTTTTTTGGTATTGTTCATCTTTTTCTTTCTGTGTGGGTTCATATTTATACTTTTCTTTCTTTTCCCCTCATTATTCTTGTTCTTTGGGTGTTTGTGTGGGTGATGTTTATTAGGGAAAAGAAAGGTTCATATTGATAGGCAGTTCTAAGTTTATTTGATTTGAAAATGGGGGCTGGAGATCCGCGTGACATTGCCATTGGTGCTGCTCTGCAGTGTGCCGAAGCGTTTACGCTTGGGATGCCATTTGAAGTCTGGAAGACTCAGCAAATCTCTGGACTTGCCAAGGGAGCGTGGTTGAGTGCTACAGAGGAATTTAAGACTTTGGTACGAGGTGGTTTGCGTCGATTCTATGATGGAACTGGAGCCAAAATGATAGAGGCCGGGTTAAAAGGATCTATTCTCCTTTTCGGTACCAATTTAACGCTAGAATTGGAACCTATGGTTGGTATTAATCCACAAAGTGCATTGGGTGGTATGTTGGCTGGATTCTGTGGTGGTGTTGCGCAAACAACGGTTATGTCACCAATGACGTATGTTGTGACGTATAAGAATCGTCATCCGGAACACCGTTCAGTGAGCCTTTTCACATTACTAAGGGAGGCTGGCTTTCGAAAAGCCTATGGTTCTGCACCTGCTATGGCAGGTCGACAGGGTACTAACTGGGCATTACGATGGTTCTTTGCAGTTGCTTTCACAAACCAATACAAGAAATTTGTGGGACGGCAAAAGTTGACCGCTCCAGAAGAGATACTTTGTGGAATTGTTGGTGGTATGTTGGGATGCGTAAACCAGCCTTTTGAAGTTGTTCGAGTTCTACAACAAGCTCGAGTTGCAATGGGAGATAAAACTGCAAACACACGCAATTGCGCAGCTTTCGTCTACAAGACATATGGATTACGCGGTTTCTATGCGGGGTTAATACCAAGAATGGGACTCTCTGCCTGGCAAACAATGTTCATGGTAACATTTGCTGGTATGATCAAGGAGCGTCTTAAGGCAGTCGGTTCCGTTACCGCACCATCAAAAATTTAAATAGAAAAAATTAATTGATTTCAACTTGGTACAATAAATGATATCTCCGATAAAAGAAAGAGATAAAAAAATGATCTGTGAAACCACCCCGGGAACAGAATAACTGAATAGGGTGAGGAAGGAAGAACTAGACTAGGTGAGAAATACGTGAAAATTATGAATAAAAGATTATTTTTCTTTACTCCCCTCTTATCATTATTCCCCTTCAAATTTACTATCAAGGATCCCTATTTATTTATTTATTTATTTATTTATTTATTTATTTTTGTTTTTGTTAAGCTACCAGAGTAAATGTATTTACTCATCAAAAAAAAAAAAAAAAAGAAAATAGCAAAGAATGTGTCATGAATCAGCTCTGAAAAGGATCGAAAGATACATGAATGTGGTGATTCTCAATTGTTGCATTCTGATACTCTTGGTGTGGAAAAGAAAGAAAAAAGTGAGAAATAGACGGAAGAAACGTATTGTTTTCCTCAAAGAAAAAAAAAAAAAAGAAACTCTGCTTTCATTTTTTTTTTTTTTTTAACATTTCTTTTTTATCACATGGTTCGTACACCTATTATATTTGTTTGTCAGTTTCCTGTTTTTGCATTAGTTTTCCATTCTTTCTTTTATTATTATTATTATTATTATGATTGTAGAAGTGTCGCGAGGATAGGAGGGAAGGGGAAGGGGAATGGGACCAAGTGAAATTGACCCATTAACATCTCTTCATGGGCCGGGTGCGACGCCACGGGATGTCGTCCGTTCTTCTTCCACTTTTTTTTTGTGGGAACAAATGTACGGAGTGGCAAAGGTGTCTCCAATACCTAGTCGGATTCTATTATATCACATGCAGCATGAACAAAATCAAAAGAAGATGGATAGACCAATTATAGAACAACACAAAAATCGTTTGTGGACGAATAGCTCTTCTGAAGAGAGTAGAAAAAACGATTTTCTTGCTGAAACATCATTAACCACAGAACCAACTAGAGTCTATATTAGTAGTGAGGGCTGTCAGCCTTTTTCTCGGCACACTGAACGATCACCACAAGCGCATAAAAAACATAATGCAGGAAGAAGTGACTCATTCATTTTTGAGAACGTTTACAGAAAATTGAAACACACACCCGAGTCAAAGAAAGATGTTTCTTGCACAGATGAAATCAATCCAACAAAAAATTCCTGTAATGATAACTATACTCTCCAGGTTAACAGTACTGTATTTTCACCACCACCACCACCACCATTAGATTTCTCAGTACCTTCTTCTGCGTTCCCAAGCGCGGAGGTTAATCGCTCTCCAAGGGATGGCGATGAACTTTTCTCAGGATCTTCATATCGTATACTGGCTGAAGATTTAACATTTGTTTTTTCCTCAGAACGTGATAAGTGGATGGACACGAGAAACCAACTTAATGAGGAAGTAGAGGACACTGCAGATGAAAACGGAATATGTAGTGAACCGAGTGTGGTTCTGAATCCAGGAGCGAATGATGAAGGAAGAGGTTTTGCTTTTGTTCATCACAATGGAAGTGGAAGTAGCAGTGGTAGTAAAACCCACTACCCTGTGCCAGACCCAACCCGGTTGACGGGTGCCCCAGTCTCTCAGCAGCTACACTGGGATATTTCAGTGGAGGCTCAACGTCTGACTGATAATGAAGAAGTTTGTAGTGATATTGTTGGGGTTGAAAGCGTAGGAATGGATAAACGTCCAGAGAATTTGCGAGGAAGAGGAAGTGAACACGAAGGAGAAAATCTAACCAAAGAAGATTTCTCTGTTTTTTCAGACAGCCGACGCGATTATTTTCCGGCGAATGAATCGCCTTCCTCTGAGTTTCCAAAGGGCAGCTCGTTTTCTGTATCTCCGTTACGACCCCGTCAGATGTTCTGCAGTGAAACACCTCCAAGACGGAGCATTGATGAGTCTGAAGAGAAAGTACTGCCTCCACCGCAGTCGTCCACAGCTGAGGAAGCACCGAAGGGGAGAGTGCGGCGATACAACCCCCCCTCCTTTTCTTGTACAGGACCTCGTGAAGTTGTGGGTGAATTGTCAGGTATGTACGGGCAGTTACATTCTGCTGGGGTCAAGAAGGATACCATGTCTTCAGGTATGTTAGGTTCTCAAACGACAGGATTTGTGCTAAAAAATACTTCAGATATTTCCCTTCATCAACACGGCCTCCACCCGTCATCAGTGTCAAACTCTCATCCACCAGCACCACCACAACCACCACCTGAAGCAGCAGATCCAATATCAGAAGAGCTTCTCATCTCACCACGACCATCAAAACCATCACGATTGTCACAACTATCACAATCATCACAAGTACAACCTCCACCTGAACCGGCAAAGCTACTATTAGAAGAGGCTCTTTTTTCACCACAGGGTTCAGTGTCTATTTCAAAAAGCCCTGAAGCAGATATTGATAATGAACTGCAATTATCGAAAAAAAGTACTCCCACTATCAAAGAAGATGACTCTAGTGTGATCAGGAAGTCAGTTAGCACATCGCTTGGAGCAGTGAATGCTAACCAGCCTAATTGCCCAGAGCAGCAAAAGGAACCGAAGTCTATGGTAGAGACGGGAGAAGCTGTGCTATCTGTATCGCCATCTCCATCATACAAGAACTATGAATGGGCTACAAAGGCTCAAGAAGAACTTGAGCAACAGCGGAAACGACGTGTTGCTCGCACACCATCAGCTAACTCTCTTTCACCACCACCACTACCGCCACCCCCTCTTAAAGTTAGTGATTTCGAGCAACCACAGCCTCCCAAAGGACGTTCAGCTGTGCAGAAGAGTTTAATTAAAGGAAGAGGTGAAAACACGAAAGTCACCGGTGCGACGGCCACAGAAGAAAAACAACAAGAGTCACATGTATTATTAGAAAATATTTTGACCTCAGAAAACGAGTCATCCACTCGTGAAACTAAACGGTCTTGCATACAAAGTATCACGCCCGTTAAGAACACTGTGGAAGGAAAACGTGGGAGGACTATGGCGGCAGAGGCCACATCAGCAGCAAAACGAACACGACGTGGAACGGTTTCACCCTCCACCGTTGTAGAGTTTCCCCTTCCACGAGATGTGGGCGTTAATGGGACTGGGAAAGAAAAGAGGGGGAAAGGAGGAAATAGGAAAGGAAGAAAGTGATGGGATTCTAGTGTTAATGAAAAATAGAAAAAAGGACAAGGAAGGATAAAATACAAGAGAGTATTCTTCTGTTCAATAATATACCCTTCTTATTTACGTTGTAATGCTTTTTTTTCATTCTCTGTTTTGAATTATACAATGGGGTGGTAAATTTAGAGATACCAGTGGAGGAGGAAAAGGCAAAAAGAGTCTGCCGTTTGAGGATCGATGACAGGTCTTCCACCTCTATCAGCGGAGGAAAAGGTTGCCCGGGAGCGGCGACTGCAGGCAGAGCATATGCGGTATGTGAATAGTATTGCAACAAGACGTTCATTACCACGTTTACAGTCAACAATTGCCGGAGCTGGTGGAAAAACCAACGAACACATCCGTCTTGCAGAAGAGCGGGAAACAGAGCGACGACAGCGCCACCAATTTGAGGCTGACCGCCTATTAGAAAAGACGGAGCGGGAAAAGGCGCATCAGAACAAGGTGAACGCGCTCAACGCCAGACAACAAAAAAAGAGGACTAAAGCAGCCAAAAAAAAGGCGAAACGATCCAGAATTCGGTTGGAGGAAGGACGAGTAAGCGGTTCCTCAGAGGATGAGGAGACTGACACGTGTGATGAAAGTGAAGAAAAACAGTGAGGGGGTTGAACGGGGATGAATGTCACATTCTTCAAGGTTCTTGTTGTTAGTGCTGTTCTTCTGATGAGAGAAAAAAAAAGTCTAATTTCGTCTTAGACGTTTGTTATTGTGAATAAAACAATAGTAAAACCGCTGAACTTTAATACTGTTTTTATTTTCTTTTGCATTTTCTCTTTTTTTTCATTCTTTTAGTTTCTTTTTGTCGTTACTACTTGTTATATGGTTTTATTAGATTCTTCTTGTAAAGGTAGTTCTGGTGGTAGTGTTGGTGACGTATTTGAGTCTGTGTAAGGGCTTATTGACTACCTTTGACGCATGAACATTTTTCTTGGTGTTTTCTCTTCTTTTGCCCAATATGTGAGGCAAGGACTCCCCCAAAAGATTAAAAAAAAAAAATGAATTCTCATATCAGCCCTAGTTTGAGTAGTCCATCCCGTGCTATTCAGGCCTTGCTACTTCTGAAGTTGTTATTTCTGAGAATAACAGTACATCCACATGACCATTTATACCACTCTATTCTTACGGTTAGGCTGATTCTGATGAAAGGGGTCACACAGCTGTTTCTTTGGGTTTAGATGTCAATAAGTCATCTTGTTATGGTAGTAGTGTTTCATCAGATTCGGAACGTAACGAATAAAACGTTATGAATACATCAACTTCCCATCCAACCTTCTCCTACTCAAGTGACTGTTTTACATCCACTCCGCACAAATTCAGTAAAGTAAAAACAGGAAATTTTTTTTTTTTCCTGTGAAGTCACTCTTGCGTTTCATTGCGTGGCGTTGGGTTGTACGATATGAAGTTGAAATAGAGTCTGGGATTCCCACTTGTGGAGAGTACATCAGTGACGTTGCCAGTACGTCTGTATGAAGTAATAGAGATAGAGTGATATAGGGACGACTTTTTCATACTTCTAGATCTGATTTTTGGTGTTTTTATTTGTTGGGTTTTCTCGCTTTTAACTTGCTTTAGCATGTCTTGCACAGCTTCATGTAGGCGGTGTATTTTTCCGAAAAGAAGTAATGAGTGAACTGAAAAGCCGTCATTGCCATTTCTAATTATATGTTACATTTCATGCGTTAGTGCATATCTGGTTCTTGTATGAAATGCTTTCGTGTGTCGTTTTTCTCTTGATAATAAATATTGGAGCGATCATTTCTTCAGTCGTCTGGAATTATTTTCCCTCCAAGATGCGGGATGGGGTAAACTAGTCACAGTGACACCGTGTGAAGTTTTTCTAGAAGCTTGTGAGAAGAATGTACACCTACTAATGATCTATTTTTTTTTGCTGGGTTGGGGTGTGTTGTTTCATGTTTTCCAACCACTTCTTCGTTGCGGTATTTAGGGCGAAGAGTGACTGACTAAACGCTTGGGAAGGGTTTGAGTTTTGAGTTTTTTTTTTTCTTTTATCGTCCAACCCACACGCTCCCTATTTTTCTTAGGGCGGATAGACCTGAGAAGAAAGTGGGAGTCTGGTATCTTCTACTTCGTGAGTCTTAATGGGTGTTTATTCTCTTGTAGCTTATAACATATGATTCTTTGTTAATTCGAATTATTGGGGATATTGGTTGTTTGAAAGAATTCCTTATACACAATGTAAAAGTTATTTTTCCCGCCATATTTACTATCCTTTGATGTATGGCGAGATTTAGAGAGTGTTGGTAGTCATATTTTTACTCTGTGCATATATCGTGTGTAGACCGTGTGTTGTGGTGGAAGATAATCACAGTATTATAACTGCAAAGGATGTGTTTCTCGGTCTGTGATTGCTGTTCTGAGTCTGGAATCTTATGCGTCCACCACATTGTGGTGACATTAAGTACTCTGTGAGACATTGACGAAGGTGATTCTATTACATTTCAAAATGCTTGGAATAGTGTTGGGAGTGTACCATACGAAAATGTGGTTGCCTTCCTATGCTGCCAACATACATTTTATTTTTCCTAAAGGGGATATCTTTCCCAAAGAAGAACCATATATGTGTATGGATTCAGAAGAGGATCTCTTATAATAATAATAATAATAATAATAATAATAATAATAATAATAGTTACTATTATTATTATTATTATTATTATTATTATTATTATTATTATTATTATTATTATTATTATTATTATTATTATTATTTGTTCGTTAACGTGACGGATCGTAGATTTCTGCATGTGGTTGCGACTCGTCTTTTGCATTTTAGGTGTGCGTATCTTTCTTGGGTATGACGCATCATACCTGAGTTTTGTTATTTATGAATTCTAATTTTTTCGTTTCAATATAGGCCTAAGAGTGAAAAATTGCTTTTTTTTTCTCTCTGTTTCTATGCGTACTCACATAAATTTCATGAAGTAAAACTTTGGTTATATAAAAGTTTTTGAGAACTTTTTTTTACTAAAAAAATAATATGGAACTTAAAAAATATTAATTTCATTTGCATCCCTCTTTATATCGATTCATCTTTTTCGTTTTGATCCTTCTAATATCGGTCTAAGTTCTAAGTATCTGCGCTAAATAACATCAAAGAGGTATATCAAGAAAAAATGAAAGGGAAACAACAGGTAACAAAAGGTTCGGAGAGTACATCTTTGGTAACGAAAGAAACAACAAAAGGAGAAGCATTACCGCTTATCCTACCAATATGGCATTTTATCACAGTAGAGCTCTTAATCTACCTACTGTGCCATTTGGCGTCTCTTGGATTGATTCTGTTCACCGCTGGAGACGTTCCATTTGTGTCCCCACGTGGGGGACTACTTCAACAGCATCGGAGGTTGAAACCACGACCGGGTGAAACGCGTGAGGCATTTGATGTATTTCGAGGACTGGGACAGGCGGGATCACCAGCATCCCTTGCACATCAGATAAGTGCAGACCTTGTTCTCACATTGGTACTTTGGTTTTCAGCTAATGGGTTCTTTCTGGTGTTTATTCGTCGAATTGATGGGGTTCTGGCGAATGAAAAGATGAGACAACAGACGTCCGGTAATACTGAAACAAAAATAAAAGAGAACGATGAGAAAAGCGGAGAAAATAAAAAGGGCACGGGAAGGGGTTTCCTGCAGGTGGAATGCCATACGTTTTTGAAGGATACCATTGTGGTTTTTTCAGTCATTCTCAGTATTGTCATTCCTATATGTGTTATCTCACAACCTTCTAATGAAGTGCGTTCGGTTGGCCCTGTCGTGGTTATGTTGACGGCTGCGGCGAACCTCTGCATGATTCAAGTGCAAGGTAATTCACGCGGGGCGCAGACATTTCTTAATTTATTTCAGGCACTAATCCTCATTGCACTTGTTGTTCTTGTTGCACAGGCAAATGTATTTGCTTATGCATGATGCATGTGGTTTGGGGTTTGAGCGATGATTGATAGAGGGTTTTAATGTATGGACAACATGTCACAGGTGTTGCGTTGGCGATCTGGACATTCTTGAGTACTGCTCACGGAAGGCAAACTTTTCCCCTTCTGCTTCTATCTTTTTTTTCTTTCTATTTATTCCTTGTCACATTGAATATTAAAGGGAAAACATTGAGAAAAAAATCTACTTGTGGTATATACACTTTTTTTTTGCCAATGCCTGGCTCAGAACTCATTTCTAATGGGTGGTTTCGTGAGGAAAACGATCAATGGCCTGGACAGGCGATGTCTCTTAAGGTAAGCAAGGTCCTGTACGATGCACCGACAAAGTATCAGCACCTTACAGTTTTCGAGACCGACCCCAAGGGTCCATGGGGAACTGTAATGACTCTTGACGGGTGTGTTCAGCTTACAGACTTTGACGAATTTGTTTACCATGAGATGCTTGCCCACACCTCTCTGTGCGCGCATCCAAACCCGGAACGTGTGCTCATCATTGGCGGTGGGGACGGCGGTGTTATGCGGGAGGTGCTGCGTCACGATACTGTGAAGAAGTGTGAGCTTGTCGATATTGACGAGGCTGTGATGGAGCAAAGCAAGATACATTTCCCACAGATCTCATGCGGGTTTTCTGACCCGCGAGCGACCGTTCTCGTGGGTGACGGTGCTGCATTCGTAAAGGAGGCACAGAGCAACACCTACGATGTGATCATTATTGACACTACAGATCCTGAAGGGCCTGCCTCAGAGCTCTTTGGAGAGGCATTTTATCACAATGTACTTCGCATCCTCAAGCCTGGAGGTATATGCTGCAATCAGGGTGAATCAATCTGGTTAAACCGCGATCTCATTGAGGGGATGCGGGACTTTATTAAGAACAAGGTTGGCTTTGCATCAGTAAAGTATGGAATGATCTATATACCCGCATATCCGTGCGGCAGTATTGGTACCCTCATGTGCTGCAAAGACGCAGATGCTGATGTGACCAAACCGCTACGACCTGTTGAGGCGATGTCCTTTGCAAAGGATCTGAAGTATTACACTTCTGATATGCACAAGGCGGCCTTTGTGCTTCCTCGATTCGTGGAACACCTCAACAAGTAATAAATTAAATATGTTTCCTTGGTGTTTGTATATATAAACATAAATATATATATATGTACGTGGTTTACTTAAGTGTTTTTTTCTAATATTTTCGAATGATGGTTACATGTGCCTCTATCCGTTTTGATCTACTAGTTCTCTGTTTTTTTTTTTTTTATTCTTGTTATTGTCCTTCTTGGGTTTGTAAATCCCTCTCTTTACCATCTGAGGTTTTTTTTTCTCTTTTTGCTTCTTTCTCTTTATTAGTTATAGTATATTGAAAATGAAGTCTTCTACCTTGGCACACACAGTGTCTTTGCACCGTGTTTGATTCCAAAGTTCTGGTGATTGTGGGGATGACGGTGGGGGTGGGGGTATTGTTTCCACGTGCCTGTCTTGAACCTATTGCCGTTTTAACGGAGAAAAAGAAGAGCAGTGGCAGCCGTGATTGTGCTGCAGAGGAGGAAGGAAGTGTTATTGATCAACATACTCCTCTTTCTTCATTAATGGAATATTTTTGTGCGAGGTTGTTGGTGAGGCAGGTTGATTCGTTCGGCCATCAAACTGCGTCTAGGCAAATTGATGTCCATTTGGGTAGCGTTACATCCCTTGTAGCAGAGGAGGGCCTTTATGTCCAGGTGCCCTCACGCCGCTTCACCTCTGAATGCGTGCGTTGTGCGAGAAATGGCACACCGATGGATGTGGTGATCTACAATAGCCTTAGAAATCGTTGGTGGAAGGATACTGCTGCTACTGATGGTAGTGGTCAAGGTGGTAATGGTGATGTCGCAGGAGACGAGGGGTATATGTACGGTTTCGTCCAGTTTATTGGACTTGGTCACGAGGGTGGGGGTTTGCTCCTCGCTGCATTCTCCACGCTTCCTCTGTTTAACATGCTGCGTATGGTGGTTCTGGAGACGCTTCCACAAGTTCTTCGCACAGCAAGGGAGGTAGACAGTAACCTCCTTGGGGTAAAACACGAGGATAGAAGAAAAGTTTCTGCGGTGTTTATGAATGCCATGTCGCCTCTTTCTGCCCTTGTGGATGTGGAAAGTACAGTGAATAAAACATCTGGAAATGGAAAGTTTTACTTGCATTTTCCAGGGAACGATATTGCTATCACTCGTCCAGATGACCTTCGGTGTCCATTTGTCGATGTTCCACTCTCTGTTCTACTTATGAGTTTTTCATACGATGCCCTTCGTGTCATTTATTCTATTCTCTTACAAGAGAAAAAGGTCGTCTTTATCGGGGCAACCCCACAGCACGCTTCAGCATGTGTTGTGAGTGTTCAAGCAATGCTTCTTCCATTTGTATGGTCCCTACCGATAGTTCCATATTTACCCCCTGAAGCGTGTGACGTCCTTGAGTCACTTGGTGATTCTGGATTTATATTGGGCTCTACATCAGATGTGGTACCGGGACTCATGCTGCGCAGTAGTACTTCTAATTGTCAACGACGTGGTAAAACCTCAGGAGCAGCAGGAGGAGGAGGACGAGCAGGTGAGGAGAAACCTGGTGAGGGTGAGGAGTGCCGTATTTGGTTCGCCGATGGACGCACAGGTGTGGTTGGTGTCTCACCATGTGATACAGATCGTTTGTCCTTTACAGCGCTGGATTTGGTGCCACCTAGCGAGAAATTGAAAGATGCGATGAAGCGGATGGTCTCGAAGGAACAGCGTCAGATGTTTCACGGAACACTAGGTTCAGCAGTGGGGCAATCATTTGGTGGGTTTTCACTGTGCTCTACCACGTCTACATTATTTTCTTCCTTATCTACTGTGGAAGAGCTACATGTCGCATTCCTTGAGTACAACGTGCACCGTCTTGTTGGAAATTATCGAAAAGGTTTGTTGGCTCAAGGTAGCAACAGCAGCATGAACAATAGTAGTGTTAGTGGTGGTACTAATTGTGTATCACGGATGCAGGGCGGTGCAGCCTTCGTCATTGATTACACACGTTTTTTACCAGGTAACCTTGACAATAACATCTCTCTCGCTCGCTGCATCGTCGGTACACGAATGTACCGTCACTGGGAAAGCGCTGTGTTATCGCTTGAAACACTCGGTATTCTGCGATCTCTTCTTGGGGAGTTTGTTCGTAGCCGCTTGCGGTCTCTTGAGCGAGATGCCACCGCATCCACGTTGGCTGGAAAAGAGACCCTGGCTACGCATTATTATCTCTCTAACCAACGTATGGTTGGAATGTTATGTCTTTTTTACATTCGCAGTGTACGACGCTTTCCAGAACTATACAACGATCTGGAGGGGAATGATGTATTACGACTAAGTGAAGGTGTTGGTATAAATTGCCTGGGTAGTGGTGGTTCTACCGTCGCGATGACAGCAGCTACTGGGAATAGCAGAGGTGGCGTAGGGAGCAGCAGTGGTACCAACTCCAACAAAGGACTGATGCGTTCTCTTTTTTCAAAGGCAACAAAGGCAGTGAAGAACAGTCTTGTGGTGCACCACCACAGAATCCCTATTCAGACATTCGTTCAGGCTTATGGTAGTTTCGCTAACAAGACAAATTATGAGAAAGACCCCAGCAAACCCGCAACACTGAGTAAGGAGTTCAAGAATAGGACTGCTATCGCCGCTACGTTTGTGCCAACGCAGCAGCAAGATCAAGGAACGTTGGCGATGTCACCTAGTGTATTATCAACCTATGTTTATGATGTTGAGGACGACCTTTATGGACCATCCATGGCTTGTGCGGGAGATGTAGATGAGACCGATGTACCACGTCGTGCCATAGGTGGTATTAATGAGTCTACATCATCTGTAGTATGTCGGCGTCTACCTTTGGACATTATACACCAGTTTGGACGTTATCATGTGCTTCTGAACCCCACTAAGGAAAATGTATACACAACAGGAATATGCGGTGACACGATGCAGGTATTATCCAGGGTGCAACTGGAAAGATACGTGGAGTTTGGAATGTTATTCGTGGCCGATCCAAGTATCTTGCCGTCTATCGAGAGTAAGCGTCAATTAATGCTATGTATGCCTCAGCCCCAGTCTGAACCCCAACCCCAACCCCAACCTCTTCCACTGCCTCTGCCTCAACCTCAGCTTCAACCTCAGTTGCAGCTGCAGCTACAAAAACAGGAACCACTGCTATCGTCTTGTCCTCCATGGGAATCTGGTACTGTGGGCAATGTAAGTGATGTTCTATTTGAGGCTCAACCGCTTCCATTTTCAATGGATGAAGTAACGCGTGCACCGGAATTGCCGCCACTACCGGATGTATTTCCTCCCCCTCAACATTCTTTTCAGCATCAAATGGTTACTTCGGGTGCATTAGGTAACAGCTCCGGGTCACAAAACCACCAAAGTTCTGCTGTCAGTTGCAGTGTCGGGGTCCCTCCTGGAGGTGGTAATGTTATGGATGATTTGTTTGCTTTTGCAGTGCCAAAGCCCAGTGCACCACCGGGCAGTGAAAGTGGGTGCAATCGACTGGAAGACTTCTTTCAATGAAAAGAAAAAAAAAGAAAAAAAGATATGAGTCTTGTTGTCTGTAATATATTTCCGTCGATGTACAGGCAAGTTGTGTCATCTTCTTTGCAGATACTTATGGTATTATTGCCTTTTGCTACTGGTACTATTGTTTGTGATAAATTGATAATTTGAAGCATCAAATTGGTTTCTTTTTTTCTGTCTCACTTTGCACATCAAATTTTGTTTGAACTTTTAAAATATCAGACAGGTGGGCAGCATATTCTTCAAGAGGAGAGGGGCGTCGGTGTGAAAAAATAAAAACATGCCACCACCACCGCCACCACCGCCGCCTGGATTGAAGAAGGCACCGGCACCTCTACCACCAGCAGCAGAGGGAGCAGTTGTAGGAGTGAAGGAGACGGTAAACCCACCACCACCACCACCGCCTGGATTGAAGAAGGCACCGGCACCTCTACCACCAGCAGCAGAGGGAGCAGTTGTAGGAGTGAAGGAGACGGTAAACCCACCACCACCACCACCACCTGGATTGAAGAAGGCACCGGCACCTCTACCAGCAGCAGCAGAGGGAGCAGTTGTAGGAGTGAAGGAGACGGTAAACCCACCACAGCCACAACCACCGCCGCCTGGATTGAAGAATATGAAGGATTCACCTCCGGTGGTGTTCGTGGCTGGAGAGGATGAGGCACAGCCAGAATCTTCTTTAGCTGAGAAGAAAAATCATGTACCTTCTTTATCGTGGGAGTTAGGGAAGTTGAATGGCCGTGGTTTGCCTCGGTTGTGCTCTGGGGTTGGAGTGGATGGAACAATAGCTGGCAGATCGCCCTCACCATTTGTGTCAAGCACGGTGACTGCTGTTGGGGATGACATAGATGTTATTGGCTGTACAAAGTCCCCAGTTCACCATCATCCTCGTGATAAATTGTTTTATTCTCCACAGGGTCGAGTGAATGATTTCTCTACAACTACTGCCGTTGCCACGGGTATTGTGGGAAGTGATGATGTGGTTGGTTCCAATAATCCTTCTGTGATTCGAGATAATTTACTGAGGCTTTTAGAGAAGCTATCTCATAACAGGGATGGGGATGCGGGGAGAACTGGTTCTTCCGGTGAAAAGGAGAAAGGATGTAATAATAGACCACATGTTGACGTGGACGATGCCTTAGATGATCTTTTTGCTCATGTAATCTCCGTTCTTGAAAGTATTGTGCAGAAATTTCTTTTTCATTCCCTAACAAGAGAATGGAAGTCAAAGATTTGCATTAGTGAATCAGTTCAGTCATCTGCGACAAAGGAATATGATCTTCCTTGGTTGTTGGCGTGGCGTGAAGCGCAATGCCAAGATGAAGAGGCATGGATTATTTGGAAATCTGCTCTATGTCGTTCCTGGAGACGTACAAGGCGTGAGTGTGCATCCCGAGATCGTAGTGAAGCACTGGCAATTACTCTGTTTCAGCTCGATCCCTTGAGAGTTGCTTCATCAAGGCTCACGCTGAACCCATTCCCTCATGATGTGGAAAGACTTCAGGATGAGCGACGTAAGACCAGAGCAAAATTACATGCACTTATATGCCATGTACTGTATACCTGTCCTGTGATTCTCATTGATAAATACACTCAACGTCTGGCAGTAACAGCAGAAATCGATTTGGATTTGCTGCGACGATGGATACTTGAGACTAGAGGGAATGGAGACACTGAGGAAAATATCATTGGGTTCATTCACGCTCTTAACAGCCGGGAGTTAGATAAAATAGACGACGTTGAACTCACGAGCCTCGATGAAGTGGAGCGTCTCTTTGCTGCAGAGCGTCGGGCGCTACTTTCCCGGTTTGATGCAGGGTTGCTCCCACCACCGTCTCGTGTGGTGGAACCGGTTTCATCTTGCAATCCACCACTCTACCCCGCATCTTCTGTTTCTCCACCGCCTCTCTACTCCACTACTGCACTCCGACGGCACGTTGATCCCACTCCTGTGGAACTGCGCCCCCAAACCTTTACCACACTCGAGTGGTCACCAATGGCCCGCAAACCTCTTGAGATGGAAATATCGTTAGCAACGCGTTTTGCCTCATCACCAGATGATGTAATGTATCCCATCTCCACTGCTAAGGTTGAGCATGAAACACCGAGGGTAAAGAGGTTGGCTGGTTCTGGGGGCCGTTTTATGGTGTGGCAGCAGGATGATCTGAAGAGTTCTAGCGCCTCATGCTCACCACACGTACGGATTTTGGATGCTGAGCGGTCGGTGAGACAGCTTCCCTCCGCTCTGAAATCACCTCGTTCTCTATCATCGTGGTGAGGAAGCATATTATTATGTTTTTTTTTTTTTATTTCTATATCGATCTGTTTTTTTTTTTTTATTGTTTTCGCGATTACCGTTTTTTTTTTTTTTTTTTGGCTTTGCGCCATCAAGATCTCGTTTTTTGTCTCTCCCTCTTTTTCTTTTTCTCCTCTGTATGTGTGTCTATGTTTTACTTTTCCTAATGTATATTTCATTTCTTTTTTTTTTGTATTTTACTGGAAGCCTTTTCTTGTAGGGGTGGTGACGTGTGGACTCTGCTGTGCCCGATACAGAGCAAAGAAGAATCTACATATATTTACAGCGAATCACTTGCGGGGAGAGACGCACGTGTATCCACATCTCACCACTCGAGCCCTTGTTGCAGTGCATGAGTAGAAGGGAATTTAAAAGGGGTAGAACTCTCGTAAAGAAAGGAATAGATAACGAACAACAACACCAACAAAAAGACCTCACGTGGGGTGGAGTTTATACAAACTCTATATATTCCAAGTAAGCAGGGTGCTTCCTCACTCAGAGTTATTATTTGTTCCGCGTTTTCTGGACCTGTCTTACGAGAGGGTGAGACGCGCGTAAGCCTCGGTATTGTACTTCTTAGAAGCAACAACATCTTCCTCGCTTTTCTATTGGTAGACAGCACTGACGATGCAGGAGCCACTTGTACCATCTATTAACTTTGCCATGGTATGTCCAGGCGTTTACCGCTCCGGGTACCCAACGAAAAAGAACTACCGCTTTATTCGTGCTCTACGGCTTCGCACCATTCTCTATCTTTGTCCAGAAGAATATGCAGAAAGTAACGTAAAGTTTTGCGAAGAAAATGGTATCAATATTCTTCGATTCCCAACTGAAGGCAACAAAGAACCCTTCATGGATATATCAGAATCATTAATGCACCGGATCCTTACTGCTCTTATTGACACAAGAATACACCCAGTTCTCATTCATTGCAATAAAGGCAAACACCGAACAGGAACTGTTGTTGGATGTCTGCGATTATTGCAAGGGTGGTCCCTTGTGTCAATTTTTCAAGAGTATCGCAGCTTTGCCGGAGACAAGGTGCGCATGGGAGATCAACAGTATGTGGAGCTTTATCATCCTATCGTGCGCGTGGCTCCGCCGTATGTGGCGGAGTGGGTATGCATTACGCCCATTGTTACTGTCGTTGAGAGCGAACGGGAGTTGTTGGAGGCAGAATCACGGCAGCTCGGTTGGAGCCTGGTATCACCACCAACCCCTCCTGCGGCGCAGCAACCAGATATAATAAAGACACCGGTAGAGCAACCTGGAAAAAAGAATGTTGCGGTGCATAGCAACAAAGACGCTGATGCTGCTATATCAACAATAAAATCAGCTCCTGTTACTGCTCCCCCAGCCGCTACTGCAGCCACAACGACATCCCACCGCGCGAGCGGTCATATTGACGGTAACAACAGCGCACCAAAAGTGAAGGAGACCACTACGGTGTCGCGGAAGGAACTCGGTGAAAGCAAGAAAAGTCAAAAATAGTTTGTCTAGTTCTCGATTTTAGGGCGATATTACTCATTATTATGATGCACCATGCTTCTTTTTGTATATACGTGTCAAATTGTTCGCTTCTCTCCAGGAAAAGTAGAAAAAAAAAAATGGGGGGATATTGCCTTTTCATTTGAATCTTTCTAAGACATGGCTGTGGGTGTCACTTTTTTAGTTCCGTTATTTTCTCTATGTGTTACACATATGTCAGTAGCAGGTCCGTCGCAGCGGAGGCCACTCCCATTTTTTTTTTTTTTTTTCTTCTTCCTTGGCTCTGATGTAGGGGGGAATCCTGAGTTACTGGATGAATCTTTGACATTTTTTTTTTTTCCTTTCTCAACTGCCCTTTTTTTTTGTTAATTTTCATTTCTGACTTCAGTTGATAAAATAAAGATGTTCCTCTGGTTTGTAAATGTAAAGTAAAAGGATGCGAGTGAGTGCATGTACACGTGCCTTTTAACTACCTTTTCCAGTGCTTGTGCACTAAAAATGACTAACAAACACAAAAGGTGAAAATACACATGTTACGTCATACTAGCGTGTTCTCCGCGTCCCACTTTACATGGGATATACTTATAAACGTTAAATATGAACTTTTATTGATGCCATATCGTTCAAGAGATGTTTTCTTTGCAGTCTTCAGTTGACTGTAAGATACTAATAGGACCTAGATTGGTACACATTCGTTTCAGTGATTGTAAAGTTTCCTTATGACCCATAGGAATATTGCAAGTGTTTCTTAAAACGACGTGTAATATCTGGAAGTTTCCTAAAAAAAAAAAAAAAAACCTGCCACAATAGTGCGACAGGAGTACGACAAAATCCCATGGAGATGACAAGAGTTGACATGACACTTATGAACATTGGGTAAGAGAAAGATGTGAGTACAGTTCCAGTTTGATTGTCCGCAACTTTGAAGCAACTGAACTTTCGAAGATTTTCCTTTATAGCTTTCAAATTGTTCTTATTGAACAACTCTAGGCGATTTTCAAGGGGGTTTTCATGCAGGATTGCTTAGTAAAGGAGGAAACGAGGAGGCGCAGAGAAACATTTTCCTCTGAAAGTGGGAGTGAGCTTATTGAATTGAAGGAAATACATACAGAATGGGTTTGGTTATTGGATATTATGTACTCATTTATTGTCTTTGTTTATTATTATTATTATTATTATTATTATTAGATATGAAGATAAAATGTAAGTGGTATACTGTCCTACAGTGTACTGCTGTGTTAAGAAGTATCCCAGCAGAGTGTGGGTAATAAAAACTTGCTGTGACTCTTCTCTACTGTGTGTTTTCTCTGGCGTTGTCGGAACTCCCTTTTTTCGTAAAAAAACAAAAAAAAACGAAAGAGAAACCTCTACTTTTTTAACTTACTGTTTCAATATTTTGACTTGATTTCACCGCGACGAAAACAAACAAGCAAACTAGGAAAAGGGGATTACTCATAACATTTTATCTAGCCTAGGTGATACAGTTCTTTTTCACTTTTTTGCATACACATAGGTAGTATATATATATATATATATATATATACAGAGTAGAAACAAGTGGGGGTAAACAGAGACTGTTAATAGAAAGTTTGTGTGAGAATGTCGTCTATACTGCGCAACAACTATGCGCTTATGATGTTCTACGTGCGCGAGAAGCTGTGGCGGCATGCGGAAGTTGTGTGCAGCGACACTATCAAGACGACGGACAGCTGGATCTTCCGTGTGTGGCGTGGTCTGTGCTACGACCAGCAGGGCCAGGCGAACGAGGCGCTGCGTGAGTACAAGGCGGCCGAACAGCGGCGGGAGACGGCGGTGCCGGCAGCGATGGGCCTCGTACTGCTCTACCGGCGGACCAAAGACGCGGCCGGCCTCGCGGCGGCGGAGCGGACACTCGCCGATGGCCCCAGCGCGGGGGAGACAAGCGCGTGGGTGCAGGCGGCGGCGCTCGCGTGGGCCGCGGGGGACACCGCCGGAGCCCGCGAGGTTCTTGCGCGCCTCCCCGACGCCGCGGGGGCGGAGGGACGCGATGCCTGCACGAGTCTCGCGGTGGTGCGGGCGTGGGTCGATCTCAGCACCGGCCGCGGCGCTTTTCTTGAGCGGTGTGGCACACTCTTCCGACAGGCAATGACTGAAGAAGAAGAGAGCGGGCATGGCGTGGATCTGGACGCCACCATGGGATGCGTTGCGTTCTACGAGCGCAAGTTTCAGTTCTCACCCGCACAACAGCTACTTAATAGACTCATTGTTAGCCACCCAAATTTTACCCCAGCACTCATCGTAAAGGCGAGGCACCTCATGAAAGCAGAGGATTGGGAACAGTGCTGGGAAACAACAAAACGTATTTTGGCAAAGGATAAAACAAACTTAGAGGCACTAGCCCTAAATACACTTTTTCTTTTGGTAAAAGATGCTCGATATGAAGACGCCGCGGCGCAGTTGCCCCGACTTCTTGAGGCGGTACAAGAAAAGGAACCAAAGAATGCATTACTCCTTTTTGAATACGCACAGTGTTTTTCACGTCTTGGTGGCTCTCACTTACCCCTGCTGAGTGTTACAATGCAATTTGCAGAAGCTGCTCACCGCATGGCACCCCATAAGGGTGACTACCTTGCTGAAGTGGGATATCAGCAAATGCTGCGTGGAGACTATAAAGCAGCTATTGCAACTTTTAAGAAAGCTTCATCCACCTCTGATAGTAGTATAAGCGCACTTTTAGGTCTTGTTAGGTGTCTCATACTTACTGGAAATTTAGATGAGGCATCACATCAAATTGAATTTCCTAATGAAATTCAGGCACCAAATCAGCGTAATGCAGAGTTAAGTTTACTTAATGCAATGTTGCAGTGGCGACGTCAAAAAAATCAACCAAAAACATTATTATTCCTAGACCAAGCAGCAGAAGCTATAAAACATGATGTGGGTGCACATCCAAACGGTATGGAACTCTATATCAAACTTAATCCACCATTAATGCTAGATGTAGCGAAAGAGTATATGCAACACTGCCGTACAGAACCACCAGATCCAACCATACAGAAAGTGGATCCTATCGCAGAGAAATGTAAACGACATCTTGAACTTTTACTTCGACATGTTCCTGGTTGTTTAGAAGCTCAACTTCTTCTTTCCAAGATATATTTCGTTGCTGGGGACTTAAATAAGGCACAAACAATGATAACGACTAGCATTCGGCATGAACATACACTTCCAGAGGCATTTCTTTTATCTGCGCAAATATGTCAATACATTGGAAATGCAAAAATGGCTAACCAGGCTCTAGAACAAGCATTAACTCTTGATTTTGAAGTGAAAGATCAACCACAATATAACCTTCTTCATGGTATTGTACTTGGAATGATGAATAAACAGCAAGAAGCATTAGAGGCATTACAGTTGGCGCTAAAACTTACCAAGGATAAGTCTCGTGTCACTAATAAAGGACGTCCTCTACAACCACTGAGCATACAGGACCACGTGAGTTTGTACTTACAATTGGCGCAAACTTATCTTAAGCTGCACGATGCAGATGAAGCACGTGCGACTATAGCTGAAGCAACAGCTTTATTTAAAGATACTACACAAGCTGGTCGCATATCAATTGCGAGTGCGATGATAGCCGCCCGAACAGATGTTGATAAAGCTATTGAAATCCTCAAACAAGTTCCACCTAGAAGTGAATTTTTTATTGCGGCTAAAATGCGTATGGCAAATCTTTATCTTATTCACAGGCAAAACCGACGTATGTACGCTGAGTGCTTTGAGCAACTTGTGGAAGAGGTCCCAACGCCACAGAGCTTTCTTGAACTTGGTGAGGCATATACCAATATTCAGGAACCCGAGAAAGCTATCGCTGCATACGAAAAAGCAAAAGCTATGGATCCCAATAATGGTGAGTTGGCAGTTCGTATTGGACGGGCACTTGTATCAACACATGACTATCAACGTGCTATTTGTTACTACCGTGATGCTGTCGCTGCAGATGGAACGAAATTCGCCGTTCGTGCTGATCTTGCGACACTCTACTGGCATCTTGGGGCAGCAGATCGTGCCATTGCGGTGTTGAGCGAGTCACCAGCGTGGAAAGGTGAACCTGATGTGAGTGAAGAAATAGAGAAGGCCATTGAACGGGTTAATTGTTCACTACTCATGTGCAAGATACATCGCGGGTGTCAGAAGCCTCAACTTGCAGCGGAAGCATTAATAAAAGCACGTAGCTTTCAAGAACATGTCTTACATTACATGATGCGTAATGAAACACGTGAAACACTCTACCAACAGAAAGTTGTTGCCGCAACAATTGCGCTAGAACTTGGTAACTATTATGCTTCTATTGGAGATGTACAGCGTGCAAAGGAGTGTTACCAAGAGGCACGGTTGTATGATGAGTCAAATGAGGTAGTGATGTTAGCAGGTGCTCGACTCTTGCTTAATAGCGGTGATGTTAACGCATGTGAGGAACAATGTAATTCTATACTTCGTATCAATCCTGCATGTGAGGAGGCTGTTGTAATCCTTGCTGATCTCATGGTACGCCGTAACCGCTTTGAAGACGCTGCACACAGTTTTAATCAGTTATTAGAGAAGACACCAGAGAATTATGAGGCGTTGGTGCAGTATGTGCGGTTGCTGCGGCACGCTGGTCGACTCAGTGATGCAGAAAAAGTATTGGAACGGGCATCAGGTCTCGTCCCGATGGGTCAAAATCCACCACCTGGACTTAGTTTTGCACGTGGTTTGTACCATCGCTATTGCGGTGAAAATACAGAGGCCCTTCGTGCATTTAATGCTGCGCGGCTGCCTGCTGATGATACACCATGGAGTGAGCCGGCGTTGGCAAATATGATTGAAATGTATCTCGTCCCAACAAATGAAGAACTGTGGATGGATACCACACTACGGGAAGATGATAGGAATGAAAATGTCAAAATTGCAGAACGTTTGTTGTTGCAAATGCCACATGGGGAGTCTCGAGACATTCTTCAAGGGTACTGCTGGTTGGCGACGAAAAAACGAACTCTGGTGGAACGTGCTGTAAAGGAGTTTACACGTCTCTGCGCTTCTGCTGAGATGATGGAACAACAAATTGGGAAACAAGTTACAAAGAATGAAAATAAGGGAGATGAAAAGGATGAAGATGAAAAATTATTGAATTCTATGAAGGAGCAAACATTAAATACAGGAAAGTTGAATCTCCCTGCTCGTCTGGGTCTGGCCATAGCATATTTTATCAGTGGATTGGAAAAGAAGGCAGTTGCTGAGCTTAGCTCCATTATTTTTCTACCATTTGAACCTGCCACAAGCGACACTGTGCACCGTGCTCGCTTGCTGAGTGCACATATAGATATGCAGAAGAAAGACTTTAAATCTTCCCAGTCTCTACTGCAAAAGGTTATTGAATTAGATAAGAGTTGTGCCCAGGCGTGGCTTATGTTAGGTGCTGTGTATGAGAAAGAAACAAATTACAGTGAGGCGGCTAAGTGTTATGAGAATGCATGGAGTCTGTCACGGGAGCGGGATCCGTCAGTTGGCTACAAACTAGCTTTTCATCTTATGAAGTCAGGAAAATTTGTGCCTGCAATCGATGTTTGTCGTAAAGTACTGGACGCACACCCTAAGTATCCCAAAATCAATGAGGTTGTGAATGTCTGCCACAGTCTTCTGCGCCCTTGATGGGGCTCACATGGGAAGAAAAAAAAAAGTTTGGACGTCACGAATGTAAGAGATATAAACCACAGTGGGTGTTTGTAGAGAAGGGAAAAAAAGGAATTGGGAGATCTTGTAGAGCAGATATACATTCTTACATATGTATGTCTTATTTATTTTGTTTATTTCTGTAGTGCAATTTTTTTTTTTTTCTGTTTTTCTTTCTTCTTTTTTTGTTCTCTGTGTCTCTCTCCTTTGTGATTTGACTTTATTTGCATTTCACTCGTCGTTTTTTTTTTTTTTTTCTTTACTTCTCCACCTTCATTACCAACGGAATGTGCCCTCGTGTGGATATAATTCTCTATCTATTTCTCGCTTTCTTCATTTCTCTATGTGCATATCACTATGCCTGTGTCTGTTTTAAATTGTGTGGTCTTTAGATCTTATGTACAGAAATACTTATGGTCTGGTTTCTATGCCTATTATTATTGTTATTGTTATTATTATTATTTTTATTGTTTCCCTTGCCTGCGTCAATCACAATTCCCCCCCCCCCTCCTTCACTAATGAAAGGTAACGAAAAAGAAAAAAAACGCACACGCACTCAAAAAAAAAAAAAAAAAATATTTGTTTACTGTCGTATGCCTCAATGTCGACAGTTTAGTAAATGTGAAGAAGTAGAGCCGGTGATTGTGTGCCGTCTGTGTGGAGATTCATGGGACACACCAGTAGAACTACAACCATGCGGTCATATCTTTTGTAAAGTATGCTTACTTGACTACAAGTCCCGCTGTCCTTCCACTTCCTCCTCTTGTGATTGTACCAATAGCAATAGCAATGATGGAAAGAGTGCCAGTGGTAATGACAACGATGATATGAGGGGTGTTTTGTGCCCCACATGCCGCTGCATGTTGTTAGGTAGTGATAGTCCCAACCGACTTCTTGTGAATAAATCGCTTGCAGTGAATGTGCGGTGCAGCCGTTGCGGATGGCAGGGGTCCCGCGAACAGAGTGGGCGCCATGTGTGCGAGGCAAAGATAATGGAAGAAAATAGTTCGTTGAGAGCTGGAGAAAATAGTTCATTAGGAGCTGAAGGAAAGAGTTCATTGAGAGTAGGGGAAAATATCTCGTTGGAAGTTGGAGGTCCCAGCAGTGAATTGCTAAGGAATTTTGGGGAGGTGGAGTCGCCACCGGCAAGTTGTACGGAGCGCGATCAGGTCGTACCGGCGATTCAGCCAAGTGGTAGCGGCAACTGGGAGGATTACGGACTCACACAGGAGGAGTACGATCAAATTATGAGTGTATTTGTACACTTTGACACAGAGGGGAGGGGATTTCTGACCCGGGCGCAGTTGCGGCAACTTGCGTTTTCTCTCAATTACGTGAACCGAGAGGAGGACATTGATCATATGCTCTCTGAGATGGGTTGCGATGAGAGCGGTGGTATTATGTTTGCTGATCTTCGCAAGTGGCTGGGAAGTCATCACCCCAACCCAGATGCACTCTATGGCCTTTCACAGTATCAATACACACAAGTGGTGCTGCAGTACCGTAGTCACATGAACCAGAGTGGTCTGTTGTCGTGGGAGGCCTTTCGGGAGTTGTGCCTCAATAACAATTATGCTGAAAATCACTACGAGGCGTGGGAACTCTTTAGGTCGTGTGATAGATCTCTTGGCGGGGTTATCAATCTTCACGAATTCCTCTTAATATGTCAACGCTTGTGGGGGATTAATGAGAATAACGGGAAAACCAAATCAAATATGGAGCCAAAAAAAAAGCAACAACGACCACAATTACAGCAACCACCACCACCACCACCGCCACAACCGATGCAAGTACAACCATATCAACAGTATACAAATCCTTATGGTAATGGAGAGCCTGCGATGTATGAAACTCCATTATCTTCCGAAGTGGAGTGTGAGGGGAAGATAAAAAGGGAGTGTTCCGTTATGTGAAGCACTAGATTAATTCACATGACATTTCTAGGTTTTATTTTATTATTTTTTTTTTCTTCTTGTCTTTTCCTTTATCTATATTATGGGACATTGTAGTGTGACACGGTGGCGTTACTACTACTAATACTACTACTACTAATATGCAGCCCACGGCTGGGTGTACCTGCATATTTCTTCTTGCTCTTCTCAGGACTGCTGAGGAAGTAGATGACGTGGTTGGGGAGGCACATTACATTTTTATGTTACTCATGCCTACTTCTATATCTTCATGAAATAACTGTAATCATACCAATAAAAATAATAATGTCGGTAAGAGTAATGAAAAGAACGCCAACAGAAGAAGATGGAGAAGCCTCTCCCTTCGATATCCTTCTGGTGGAAGTGTGGAGAATGTAGTGGTGTGGGAAAAGTCTCTCTGACTAAATGAGTCGTTCCCCATGTAAGACGCAAATGCTATTCAAAATGCCATTTTTATGCATCTCCTAATGGGTAATTCGTGTATGGGCTTCGGCTCCCAGAAAAAAATACTTATTCTGTGATTAGAGATGGTTAGTTCTGCATATTAGTGCCAATTTTTTTTTCACGAAGAAAAAGGAAAAGGAAAATCAAACTGTTGGCTGTTATTTTTTGTTTCGCGGTCATTTGACACATTAATGGTGTTTAATGTCCATCATGGTTTTTCTTTCTTTTCGTTATGTGTTGAATTATCTTCTTTTTATCTTAATCCAAATCCGGTACGTGTTAAAGTTTCCTGTGGCGTTTTTTTTTTTCTTTTTTCTGCATTCACGGCCTAATTTCTCATATTTTATTTTATTTTGTTTTTTTTTGTTTCGCACGTATGTAGGTAATATATTCAAGGTGGAACAAAGGTCCAGTGGTGCCACGGGAGCTGTTGTTGTTTCTCCATTACGGGTACTGTAATGGGGTCTTTTGAAGAGTTTTTGCTTGCGGCTGTGGAAAAGGCTCCTTTCCTTATTGGTGAAACCACAGCATCATCATCGCTACAGGAGAAGAGAAAAAGGTCTCGAGATGTTGAAGAGGTGAAGAGTACTACTACTACTACTACTACTACTACTAGTAGCAGTAGTAGTACTGAAAAGAAAAAACAAGACCATGACGAAGATATTGTTCGACTGCAACGAATACTGGTGGATGGTCCACTACAGCCACTGGGTGCAGAACACGGGCTTTATCACATCCTTCTTCCCACATTTCTCGCCACAATGGGGGCGGCACGGGATGTGTGGCGTGCAAAGCAGGCACTGCAGACGGCAAAGGAGAAACGGTCTGAGACGAACGAAACAGTGGGCACCAGCCAGACGGTTTCGGCCCCCAGTGCTGTTTCATCTGCGAACGAGAACGAGGAACAACCGTTAGATGAGGCAGCCTTGCAGCGGGCTGTTGTAGCTGCCCAGAAGGCGTTGAGTGTACAGCAGCATGCGCTAGATGCTGCAAAAACTAAGGTGTGTGTACTACTAGAGGCTGTTTCACAGCATAGTGGTTCGACGACATAAAGCGTGGTGTAACGCAAAAAAAAAAACAAGTGATTATATATATATATATATATATATATATATATATATGAAAGAAGTAAGTGGTCAAAATATGACTTGTCGTGAAGTTCCTTTATTCTGCTATTTTTGAATTGTCACTTGATCTATAAACTTCCTCTCGAAGTACTCTTTCCGTTTTTTGTGTCAAAAAAAAAAAAGAAAAGGAAGTAAGGATACAAACATATAAGTGCACAGTTAGATAGGGGTGGTAAGAAGTGGGATAGAAAAAAATAGTAATGCAAGTTTTTAGCCAGAGAATGGCGGCACGGGGTGGCCAACCTCTACCTCTCTCGTACTATCTGGAACAGGAGGTCCCTGCGGCGACGGCAACATCAAAGAAATCGTCATCTATTAACCCGTTCACGACACGACTCGGTGGACGTACGCTTCATGAAGCACTACGTCGTGATGATGGGTTTCCTTCAATTGTTGCGTTTCTTCTTGCTGGTGTTGACGTGAACGTACGAGACAAAAATGGAGCTACGCCTCTTCACGTAGCGGTCGCGAGAGTTGAGTCTAGCCGCGAAGAAGAAGAGGAGGATGACTACCCGCTTGTACCGGACTGCCCGAACCAACTAATTATCGCATTCCTCATCGATAATGGAGCAGATATCAACAGCCGTAATGCTGCTGGTGAAACACCAATGATGGTTGCCGCCGCCAGGCGCAATGTTCATGCGCTTCGACTTTTAATGTTGCGTGGAGCCGATCCCCTGCGGCGTGATGACTTGGGGCACACCGTCCTGCACCACGCCGCTCGATTACCGTCTATATTGGAAACACTGCATGTGTGGATAGACGATCTCCCTGTGCGGGCTGCACAGGAGTGTCTACTGCATACTGTCTGCCGGCAGGGAAATGATGCGAAGTTCTCCGCACTCTTCTTTATTGAACAACTAGAACTGAATGTAAACGCGTTGGAAGGTGACTCTACTACTACTACTACTACTACTACTACTACTACTACCAATACTACTACTAAAACTAATGGTGATATTACTACATCCAAGAATATAATTTCCATTACTGGGTTTAATGATGTGGGAAATGGATCTGTTGCCAAACCTCTCAATCAACCGTCATCAACAGGGGTCGTAATTCATGATGGATACACACCTCTGCATTGTGCGGTACTTGCCGGAGATCCCGCTCTTGTGCGCACCCTTCTATTGAAAGGCGCTAATGCTGATAAACCAGACGCTACTGGTGTGACACCAATTCAACTGGCAGATGAGTGTGCACGATCAGTGCGCTCGACGGGAGTATCACTCCGGCGTTTTAGCAATCTTTTCGCCTTACTACGAAAAAGTAGCGCTACTCCGAAAAATGGTAACCCGGAGAAGGTCTATGCAATGATTAAGGCTTATCACGGGGAAGCATCCTCTACAAGACGCGAATCAATGTTACAGCGTGATGCTGCTAATGAAACACTACTGTGGAACCTTAATACTTCTATGGATGTCATATTTTTTGCAGCAGGAGCTGTTTTACCACATGTTTTAATGGCATTATGTGCAGCAATAACAGTAAAGTTCTGGATTCTTACTATCATCCTCATCATTTCTCTCTCATGGTGCGTAGGCTTTAACCAGAAAGATGCCAAAAGGTCAAACGCGAGGCCGCTACGCTCTGCTGGTCTTTTCTTTGGTTACGTATTGGTGCTTGCTTTATGCTGTATATATCAAGCGGTAAGGGGAAGGACTCAGATAACTTCGGTTGTTGCTATTATTTTGAATTCTTGGATAATCACATGTGGCATTGGCAGTGTTGTCTGTGCCCTTGCAGTGATGTTAAAATCCCCAGGCACGGTGGATTCCACTGCTGCGCAGCGTCTGGGTATCTACAAGACCATCTTTCATTCAAAGGGTTTACCACCAGAGGATGTGCGACAAGGCATTGATATACGCTGTATGGTGAAAAAACCACTGCGTGCCCAACGCTGTCGTCATTTGGGACGTGTTGTACTTCGATTTGATCACTACTGTACATGGCTCTCAAGTACCATTGGCGGTGGTAACCACAGAGTGTACCTCTGGTTTCTCATTTTTTATACAGCTTTCCTTGGAGGATGGTTGTATCTTTTTTTCTTCTTGTCGTCACCGTTTGGGTATACTACCGATAGTAGTAGTATTGGTAGTAATGGTTCAATTACTATTGCTGCTTATGGTGTTGGCCAAGTGATGCAGTGTTTTGCAGATATTTACGTGGCACTTGCGCTTCCCGTTTTTTTTGCTTTCTTTTTATTCACCCTCTTGCGGCAATTGACATATATTGGACGTGGTGTTACATCATATGATGTGTTGTGTCCGTCAAAATGTCCGTGGTGCTTTATGCTTGGTTCACGAACATATTCGCTCTTTGATGCTGGATTCAGTGAAAACATGCGAGGTTTCTTTCTTATGCGCGAGAACCTTTTGGCGTCAACATATCGGATGCCAGAAATGAACGCAAGACTGCAGCGCTTGGCAAAGGAGTATCAGACACTGCAGTTCTCACCATGTCAAGAGGGAGGACACTGCCACTCACACACGCAAGAAGGTCATGGTCACTCCCACGGTGATCAATCAGTACTGAATCAGGGGATGCAGCAACAACAGCAATTTCTCTTTCCCTCGAATACAGGGAATGTTAATGTTTCTGCTCCCACTGTTTCTACTGTTGCTACGGCGGGTGCGACATCATCAGAGGTAGAAGCTGCAGCTGGACGTCTTTTCCAGCTAATGGTTCATCAAAACAGCGCAGATATAAGTGCGGGTAAAGAGTTACAGGGCAATTTTTCTGCAGTAGATTGGGATCAGGTGGTAACAAAAGCCCAAACTATGTTTGGCTTTTTCAAGAGTACCTTGAATAGAGGAAACTGAGTATATTTTTCAGGGGAAAACTTTATTTAGCGACGCGCAAAAAGAAACATTTTTCAATACCTTTTTTTTTTTGGCAATGTTTTTTTTTTTTTTTCTCTCCACTTTTATGGAGGCGTGAAATGACAGTGTGGAATTTACAGAAAGTACAATGTGCACATCATGATTATACGTCTGTGCATGCTAGCTGCAGAGGTTGTCTATATTACACAACGGATTGATGGATTTTTTTTTTTTTTTTCTATTCCGTTTTTTTTTTTTTTTTTTGTTAGGAGGAAAGGGGCTCATAACGCCACTGCTTCTTGGTGCTCCCATTACAGGGAGAGAACCACACACCTATACACAAAAAAAAAGGATAACAAAAAGAAAAGAAAAGGGAAAAACGAAAAAAAAAAAGAAAAAGAGAAAAAAAAGAAAGAAAAGAAAGAAAAAGAAAGATACAAAACAAAGAAAGAAAAATACACCCAAAAAGAACGTAATCGAAAGGGAATAGGGAAACCGAGAAGAAGAGAAACAGGCAAGGGAAAGGGAGAAAATCAACTGAGATTTTGGACGGACCCTCTACTTGATAGCGAATATCACGCACCCCCCCCTCACCTCCGCAACTTACACACATAATCCGTAGCTGCAGTGGTGGGTTTGATTAGGGAGAGGCTTCTTTTTCTCGTTCTTTTTTTCGCGTGGATTCGTTTCGTTTTTTTTTTTTTGTCGTTAATATCTCACAGCTCTTTCCTTGTCAGTGAGGTTTCTTGGTGGGTGAGGTTGATTGGAGGTTGAGATGATGAGACACGAATTTGGCACAGGAGAAACCAGCACTTCCAGAGACACAGATTTATACACCAACTGCAACAATATCCGTAGTAGTACCTCTCACGTCCACGGTGAAGAAGAACAACTTTCGGCACAACGCGCTGAAAAAGTTGGGGATGACTTGTATGGTACATGCGTCTCCTGTCCTGTAGAGGATAAGCTTCCGCCGCCGTGGTCACAGGAGTGTGATCGTGACCACACCCAACGCCTGGAGCCGTCTCTATTGCCGACGGAGGTGGAACTTCCGCTTGGATCATCTGCCGACGGCGAGAGAGTGGAACCGGCAGCGACTGGGGAGATTAAATCACCAGCGAGGTGGGAACGTTCATCACAGGAGGTGCCAGAGATGGATGTGCCGCTGCCGATCTTATCTTTCCCTCTTTCGGATGCGAGCCAGCAGGAGGAGGGAGGCCTCGCGACAGGTACAGAAGCTAAAGGAGTGACAGCATGTCTGCTCTCTAGGAGTAGCAGCATCAGCAGCAAGATTAGTAGTAGTAGCAGCAGTAGTAGTAGTAGTGGTAGCAGTAATAACAGGAGCAATGCCTCCAATTGTATCACATCCTTACCTCAACGGTGTGAAACTGGTCTGACGACTTTCCCGTTGTCTTCAGAGGTAGTACCGATGCCACGTGTCACTGCCACAACAAGTGACTACGATACATTGGATGAGGCAAACGCCTGGATAAAGCGAGACCAATCTGAGCGGCAGGTGGGGGAGTTGCAGCAAACTTCAGCAACGACTGAGGTGGTGCAAGAGCAGCAGAAGCACGACTCTGTACAGACTACCGATGTGCCAGTGAGCCGTGCCAATAATAGTTATCGCAGTAGTGGCGGTGTTTTCGATCAGAAGAACGTAGTTCCGAGGGGAACGGTGCGTGAGATGACACCCACCACGCAACGCCGGGGAAAGACGACTGCCACAAGGAAGTTAACACCACAACACGCAAAGTCTCTCACGTCAGTGGACGCTTTCACCGCTCCGAAAGATCGATTGCGTGAATCCTCATTTTCTAGGGGTCGCCATTCAGAAGACCATATTCGATCTAACACACACGTTGCTGCAACTTCTTCGACAAAGACAAAGGAAATGAGAGCGGGAAATTCTCTTCGTTCGTTGTCGCCATCTCGAACGGGATCCACCGATAGCAAAAAAAATAAAACCAACACAGATCCTTGCGGTGTTTTTAAGGATGTAATGCGTGGTGAGGTTGGTGGAGAGGTGCAATCGGGTAAACCATCGCAGCTCCAAAAGCTCTCATCAGAACAGCAATTCCTCAGTAGTATTAGTGAAGACTTTGGCCTTCCTACCTCGCAGAGCGAGTCTATCCAGAACCCTGTACAGGTTGCCAACAACACTATGCGTCCTGTTCCGGGTCCATCCACTGTATCTTCACCGAGGCAGCAACAACAAAATCTTCATCATCATCATCAGCAACAGCAACAACAACAACAACAGTCACAACAACAGTCGCAGCAGGGCTCTATTTTGGCTCATAATAATCAGAACAAAATAATGACCGCGGCCCCTACTGCTTCCAACTGGCCTATTTTGCCTATGCACGACTTTATTTCTTCGTTGCAGATTTATGTGAACACGTGTCTAGGTCTTCGTGAAAGTGACCGACAGGCACGGCATAGATTCATTTCCCGTATTCAGCGTGTTGTTACGAAGGTGTTTGGCCAAGGGACAGAAGTTCGAGTGCATGGGTCTATTACAACAGACCTTGCACTACCATCTAGCGATATTGATTTGCTTGTTGTGGGGTACGAACCGTTGACACCACTGCAGGCTATTCAACAGCTCTCACGGGCTATCTATAATATTGAGGAGCGAGAGTTGGAAGAATTAGAACCGGGAGAATCAGTAGACGCTAGAGGATCATCTGGGGTTGATTGTAGCAGTGGGACCGGTGGGGGTATGGAAGAGGCAGAGGAGGGAACTTCGGGAACCAAGAATAGTGCTTTAGCCTTCACACCTGGTTCTGCTTCTGTTGGTGTTGTTGGTGGAGTCCCTGATTTAGATGTGGATGTTGCACTGGTACCAGAAGGTGAACTTGGCGCGGCAGATTCTATCATGCATGTAGAGGAGGAGGAGGCGGAGTACCGCTCTCAGATTGAACGGGATTATTTGTTTAGCACTAGAGCCGGTTTGACGACGGCTGCGATGGCGTCATCCCTCCCACCCGCTGGACCCGCTGCGGCGATGACGTTGCACGGCTGCATGAATCCATTTCTTGGAGCACCATTGCAGCACACAATGTTGCGTTCGTTTGTCGGACCGGGTGTGTCAACTACAACAGGGGACTCTACGACGATCAATGATACGCAGATGAACACGGTGGGTCACCGATTGTATGTCCCAACACTTGAAGGCCCAGTCTTTCAGGTACAGACTATCATTTCAACTCGCGTCCCGGTTATCAAAGTAACAGATAAGGCTACCGGTATGCGGGGGGACATCACGTTTGCTGGTGGAGAACACTGGCGCTCAATGCAGTTAACCAATCATTTATTAAAGCAGTATCCAGCGTCAAGAGGACTTATCTTGTTTCTCAAGCACTGTGTGAGGCAAATGGGAATAGGTGATTCACAACCAGGAGGTGTGACATCATTTGCTATCTACCTTATGGTGTTACACTTTTTTAATGAGATCTCAAAACATATAGAAAGTCTACTTCAACAACAACAACAACAATTGCAGGAACAACAACGGAGAGATATGTCACACGTAGCCACACAAACGGGGCCTGAATTATCTGGAAATTCTGCTGTCGTGAATGACAGTGCCGATATGAGTGGAAATGGTGCAAAAAATACTGCGGTGCATTCGGGAGTGACCCATACACAAACCCCTCAAAGCTCTTATCTAAGATCTGGAAATTCACCAACCTCCTCTCACCAAGCTTCATATTTCGATGATAGAGTCTTCGTGGTTGAATTAATGCTTATGCAGCGCTTCAGTCAACACAAACAAAGTAATGACCGTGGTCAGAGTACTGCGAATATTTTAAGTTCTATCTTGGAATTTCTGGATGAGGAGGAGGTACCAAAAGGTTTAGGTGATGATGGAAAAGAAAAGCATACAGCCGAGCTTGTAGAGGAACGAACAGGAGCTAAACTTGTGGCCCCATCAAACTCTTATGCTATAGAATTGAGTGATGGTGGTGTCCATAATAAGAAAACCCCTCATCATATTGATCCATACGACGCAGAAGGTGTAACAGCGGCCCTTGTTGCTCCATCTTCGGACGGTGTAGTTGATATCACTGAAAAAGGCATGAATGATAGTAACGGTAATGTATGGGATGACAGAAATGATGTGGATGTCGTTTGCGATAGTAGTAGTGGTATTGTTGACAATGGTGATGATGATCACAGTAAGGTTGTTGGGTCAGATTATGCAAGTAGTAGCAGTTGCAAAGGTGATGGAGAAAGCGCTGTTATTGAAGAAACGAGAGACGATGAAAAAGTTGAGCATGACGAGACGGAGGAAAATGAGACAAATTTGTTCCGTTCCTTGGCACTCCGATGGCTTTCCAATGCACCACTAGGACTCTTATTTCATGACTTTTGTTTCTACTACGGGTTTACCTTTGACTATGATGCCCATGGTTTGCGCTTTGAGCCTCTTGGTGACTCTAGCGTGGTACCAAAACCACGGAAATGTCAGCAGCGTGGGCAGCATTTGTATATGACATCACCCTTTGATGATCAGTACGACATCACCGCAAGGATGTTGAGAACACGCGAGTTCCAGGAACTTTGTTGTATGTTTGTGCCTATAACCACTCCTATGGGAGCGTTTGGAGGCTACGGTAATTGTGTCTGCACGCTGCAGCAGGCGTTGGAATGGATTTCCCCTGAAACTGCTTTTGAAGAACTCATGGCTGTTAACTCAGCGATCCAACAGCAGCAGCAGCAACAACAACAACAGCAGCAGCAGCAACAAGAACAACAGGAACAACAACAACAACAAGAACAAGACCAACAAGAAAAGTATGTAGAGGACTTGGGGACAGCATTAACGACTGCAGAAGGTCCAATGCCGTCTTCGAACATTACTGTAAATGGTGGTAAAGGGAAACTGTCTCCTCCGCTGTTGTTGATGCGCGCCGGGGTGGAGAGAAAAGATCAGTCTACTTCTCCTGCACGTTCCCCTTACAGTGCTCACGTGGAGGAAACCACAGAAGAAGTTCGACCGCCACGACGCCGCGATACTGCTCCGTACAACAATAGCAATAACAATAATAACATTAGTGGGCCTACGGAACTTCGAAACAAGGATGATCGAACATCTACTGAAGCTCAGTCAGATGTGCCCGTCAGTGGAATGCCATTTTCCTCTTCTAGCGGCACTACAAGTGCAGCCGTATTGAGCAGCAGACAGCCTATTCCTGATGCACGTGGAAGTGATGCAGTGAAGAGACGCACGACGGCACCTACACTGAAGCGTCAACTGAAGCGGCGGGAGTGCGGCGGAGAGGACGTGGCAACCCCAACCCCAACCCCAACTACAGCGACAACCACATCAACATCAACCAGTACCGGCAATGGTCTTGGGGGACAGTCATCGACGGGGGTTTCAGTATCCGTTTCACCCACTACCGCTGTTGTTACCGGATTTGCCGGAGTTGCTTCTGCCAGTAACGTTAGTGGTAGTGGTGGCTCTCAGGGCACTTCGCCTTCCACTGGATTAACAACATCTGGCAGCCGAGGAGCACCAGTGGGGGGAAGTACCAGCACAGCTGCTGGAGAGAGTTTGTACATCCGTACCCAACCCACACGCTCAGTCATGGCACAACAACAGCAGCATCATCATAATCATTCACCACGTTCACTTTCACAACAACAACAACAACAACAACAAACACAACCGTCAACACAGCAGCAGCCGCAACAGCCGCAGCAACAGCAGCACCAACAACAACAACAAGTTCCATTCCCCCTAGACAATTCGTGTCAGATGTTTTTGTTTCAACCCAATGGTGGAGGTGGCGCTGGCTATGCTGATCCTCAGCATTTTTATTTTCCAATCCCGTACGCAACAGAGGCGGCGTTGCACTACCAACATCACCACCACCATCATCACCACCACCACCACCACCACCACCATCAGCAGCAACTTCTTTTTCACCATCCTCATATGACGTCATTTTATATGGGTCTTGAGTTCAGTCAAATGTACCAACAACGAGCAGCGTATGATGCCATGAATAGCAATGGAGGCGGCAATCACACATCAAATAGACAGGGAAATGCCTTCATACCCTCTGCCCACCACGTGCAGGGGAATACACGCGGTAACAGCGGCTCCACACAGGGATTGCGGGGTCGCGGACGTGGTGCAGCTCATCGTGGCGGAAGCGCCAGTACCAGTACCACTACCAACAGTCATGGAGAAAAAGGGACGCAATTGAACTCAGGTACTCCAGCTATGCTGGAGGACCCAGCAGCCACAGCCGAAGGATCTGGACAGGAAAGTAGCAGGAGTAGTAGCGGCAGTAACCCCAATAATGATGCAAACCACACAGCCCCAGGATCACAGCCTGATGTGCTGCCGGCAAAAGACCGGGAACAAAGCACAACTGATACAGTAGAGAAATCACAGGGAGAACGTCCGCCTTCTCCGATCCAAGAAGGCCAACCACAGCCACAGCATCAGAATAATCAACAGTCCAACTCTAGCCATCATTACCATCAACATTTGAGCAATGCAAAGATGAGAAGCGGCAGCCACCATAGCCATAATCATCCACCACCACCACCACCACCACCACCACCACCAGCGCAACAACAACAACAACATCATCAGCAGCAATTATACTGGAGGCAGCATCAACATGCATCCATGATGATGTCTCAACATATGTATGCATTCCAAAACTCTCTTGAGGCAGTGTCTCCCGCAGCCATGTATGCTTCAGCACAGAGTGCAGGGGCATTCCAGCAACAACAACAACAACAGCAACAACATGGTGCAGTTACCGCCGGTCCATCAACTGGTTTCCCCAGGATGTCTGCTCCCAGCCTTCCTCCTTATACTTCACCTGTTGTTATGCCTAGTGAGAGTCAGTACCATCATAACCAGCAACATCAGCGATGGCAGTCGACTTTTTCTTCACAAAGAGCGGAGAGTTCTGTTACCAGTAGTGGTACTAGCAACAATAATGGAAGAGGTGGTGGCCTTGCACGTCCCCCACAGCAAGTGCAGGGGTCTGTGGAAGAAGAACCAATTGCGGAGCAACAACAACAACAACAACAACAACAACAGCATCAGGAACCGCAGCAGGAGGTAGAGAAAGGGGAGAGTGGGGGAGACACCGGTTCCATCTAAAGTTTAATGTGCTGAGAAGAGCCCAGAGAGACTGTACATATAGTTAAAAAGAGAAAAGTGAAAATAAAGTTGGTAGAGAAAGAAAAAATGAAAGCGCTGTAGCAACCTAATTCAGTTCTTTTTTTTTGTCTGTTTCTTTATTTTACCACCTTGAGAGAGACAGGGTAAGAAGAAGAAAAAAAAATTCGAAAGACGGGCGAGAGCCCAAATAACAACTCAACGAGAAAACTAAACATAGCAAAAAAAATAAAAAATAAAAAATAAAAAAAGAAAGCAAAAAAAAAAAAAAAAATCTCACGAAAACTTTGAGTAAAGAAAGAGGATAGCGATGGATGATATACAGTGGTAAGCTGTTTTTATTGATTTGTTTTTCTTTACGAGTCACACGTTACTTCTCTTACCGCCCTTCTTTCACCCCCCTTATCCACGTTTTTCTGTTTTTTTTTTCTTGGCCTTCAAATCAGTGGTGCGTTTTTTTTTTTTTTTTGTTGCTTTATTGCCTTTCTGGTCTGCGTTTTGCATGTGACAACAGCGGGACGGTCTGTGTGGTATGTATATGTGTGCTTGCTACAGAGGACAGGGACTTCTTTTTTGTTGTATACTGTCCTTTCTTTTTTTTTTTTATGGAGGTGGGTGGGTGTCTGAGCGTGGGTCTCCAAGGAGAGGGAAAGAATCTGTGTGTTTGTCTGTGAGTGTGTAAGTGAGAGAAGATGAATGGAATAGCGCGAATATTGCATGTGTTCATGCATTTCCTTTACTATTAGTACAACTTCGCCTGTAGCAAAATGGGTGAGGCCACTGAGTCTCCCTTTCCCCACTTTACCCGAGTTGTGTGGGGAAGTAAGGAATGAAGTACAGGAGGTTCAACAACCAACGCCAGCTAGAAGAAAAAAGAAAACAAGAGGAAATGAAGAGGTAGAAAAAAAAAAAAGAGACAATGTGGTATATTAATCTTCCTCTTGATCAGACGTTTTTCCTCTATTATTGTTATTATTATTTATTACTATTATTATCATCTCCGATTGTGGGTGATGGAAATGCGCGGATTCGTACAGCCTTTCCGCCCGCCAGACTCTTTTACCTCCCTCCCCTCACTCCTCTGCATACCACTCCCTTCCACGTTTTTTTTTTTTTTTTTTTTGTTACTGATATGAGGCACGAAAATGCCTTGAAGATGATTTTACGCAGAACACGGTATTTCATGAGTTTTTTTTTTTATTCTGTTGTTCTCCCGACTGTTTCTTCAGTTTATTTTTCTATTTTCTGTTTTCCATGACTTTGGGTACGGCTACCCACTCCTCTTTTCTTCTCCCTGTTTCCTTCCTGCCCGCACCTGAAGTGACACCTTCGCTTTTTCTCTTTCTTTCTTTCTTTTTGTATTTCCCTCGTCTCCTGACAATGTGTATCTGTGGGAGAAACGGAGCACGCGCGCGCAGTTCACGCGAGCAAATACACACGGACACCGCTAAGGACGCAGGTACGCACGCAGCCAAGTAAGTAAGTAAGTGAGTGTGGTGACAGGAGTGTAAGGAATGGCAAAATCTACGCGGTCCAAGTGGAAGAAGTTGCACCGCCGACAGCGGGCGCAAGGCGTGGCCTCCGCAGTGGCGAAACGTGTGGAGCGCCTCGCCGGCAAATTGCATCTCGCAGCCCATGGTGGACTCAGCGCCGTGCCGATGGAGGATCCGGAGACACGCTTTCACTTTGTCAACCCCGTACTCGATCCAAACGTTCCGCACAACTGCAGCGGCCGAAACAACAACTACGAGGCCGTCGCGCGGGAGGCGGTGGACTTCACAAAACCTTTACGTCTCCCCGCCCCGCGGACGAACTTCTACGGTAGAAGCGATCCCAACGCGCCGCACCCAATGACGCTTCAGTACGAGGTGGTTAACGCGGATGCTCCCATTGCTGGACATGCACTCTCCGTCGAGGATGTTCAACGTATGGAGTCGCTGGCGCAGCAGGTAAACAATCAGACTAATAATACTAATAACAATAATGATAATAATGCTAATGAAGAGGAAGTGGAAGTTAAAGAGAGAATCCAAGATGATAACGAGGATGGAATGGAGGAATTTGTTTTGGGGTGCAATGACGCAGCTGAGGAGACATCAACGAATACCAAGGCTTTGCTTTTCGGAGGCCGTCATTCCGAAGTGAAGAAGAAGAGTAAGAAGGCGATGATGACGACAGAAACAGCAGCGTTAGGTTCAACTTCAGCAGAAGCCAAGGCCCCAAAGCGTATCACCAGTATGGAGAACCCCTCTAAGAAAAAAAATCGTGTGGTACAAGTCTCGGGAGACAAAAAAGTAAAGCGACTCTCTAATACCCCGAACACGGGCTTAGTGAAATCCGGTGCGAAAACCGTCAAGAGGTGAGGAACGGAGAATCAGCAAGTCAAGAGAGAAAGGAAAAAAAGAAGGGGAAAGAAGAGAGAGAGTGTGTGTGTGTATGTGTGTGTGCTTGTATACGAGAGAAATGAAGAAGAAAAGGGGTATTGGTTGTATGCGGCAGCATAGACTTTATTCCCATTTCTCTGTTCCTTCTATCACCGTAAAGAGTTTATGCATGGATGCGTGTAATTGATGAAAGAAAAAAGAGAACAAATGGAAGAGAAGAAAAAGAAAAAGAAAGAGTCATAAAGAGTTGTTCTTTCAACTCCTCATTAGCAATAATATAGCGATCGGGTGATCTTTTTGTGATATCCCGTATCGCTTGTTGCTGCCACTACTGCGCAATCCCAAGTTTTTCTTCTTTCTTTTTTCTCCTTTTACTATTTCTAACTCTCCTTGTCTCTCTCCTTGGTTTTTTTTTTATCTTGATTAATTCCTGCTTCTGTAATGACTAACAGGATTTGGAGAAAAAACAAGAAAGCGAGTGTGAACAGGCGAGTGAAACGTCAGGTGGAGTGGAAACAGACGTTTGACGTTTTTTCTTTCTTAGTTGAGTCAAGACTCAGTTGAGCCAGAAGTAGGGACAAGAAGAGAGGTCTGTTGAAAAGAAGAAAGAAAAAAAAAAAAAACAGTGCATTGTGACGCGGCAGAGACCCCCCGCGTCAATTTGACATCATATCCCCACTAAAACGCATACTCGTACCGTTTAAGCGGATAATCAGGAGAGACGCTACAATTCCCAAGCGTGAAGTTGCAGAAAGGCAAGGAAAAAAAAAAAAAAACTCGATTAACAAGGGAAAGGAAAAAAAAAAATTGAGTAGGAGCGAAACTGGTGTAACTAGAGAGGAGTCGGTTAAGGGATCCCTATTGTGTAGCGTGGCGAGAGAGGTCACCAATTAACTAGCTTTGGGGTGAAACTAAACGAAGGGAGCTCGACGCACGCGAAGAGGCTGGATTTCCCAACGCTCCTAAAAAGAGAACAAAACCAAAAAAAAAAAAAAAACGGAATCACACACAAAAAAAAAAGAGTGACAAAGTGAGGGGATAGAGAGAAAGAAAGCAGCAGAGAATAATAAAAAAAAGAGCACAAATAGGAAGGGAAAAGAGTCATATACCCGCATAAAAAAAAAAACATCATCAGCAATAAGTCCATCAAATGGGAGCTGTGATGAGTTGGTTTGATGGGCTCTTCGCCAAGAAGGACGCAACCATCTTAATGGTGGGACTTGATGCAGCAGGTAAGACAACTATTCTTTGGAAACTTAAACTCAACGAGGTCCAACAGACAGTTCCGACCCTTGGGTTTAATGTTCAAACGGTGGAGTACAAAAATGTAAAATTTCATTTGTGGGATGTCGGAGGGCAAAAGTTGCTACGCTCTCTTTGGAAGCACTACTATGAGGGTGCAAACGCCATCATTTTTGTTATTGACAGCAACGACAGGGATCGGGTGCGTGAGGCGAAGCAGGAGCTGGAAAAGCTACTACTCGAACCGTTGCTAGCAAAGGCGACTGTACTTGTTCTGTGTAACAAACAGGACCTTCCACACCGCCTAACGCCTGCAGAGTTGGTGGAACAACTCGGCTTCCGCGACACTAGCGAAAAAGGACTTGCCACCGCATTGCAGGGACGCCAGTGGTATGTCCAGGGTTGCTGTGCGCATACAGGTGATGGACTCTTTGAGGGTTTGGACTGGTTGTGTAGTCACCTTCCCGACGCCGAGTAAAAAAGGAGAAATGCCTAAATCAGATGCACCAGTCTCATTAACAATTGGAGATGGATACTTCTATGAAGATTTTTTTTATTCGTCAATTCCTACTTATTCCCATATATGTTTCCATACTCTCTTTATATCGCCTGCCCTATTGCCCAACATCGTCAGCGTACAAATGGAGAAGTGCTTTCTTATGTTGCGCCTAT